GAAGAAGGCAGGGAAATGGAACAGCCATCAAATGGGCCAAATAGAAACCAACTCAACAGGAATATGGTGGATTGAAATCCAGCCCTGTCAGCGAAGGCACCGAATGCGACAGGTGTGAATAACTGAACTAAGGAACAAGGGTTATAAAAGTAGACTTCAGGAGCCCGACCCGGCTATAGGCTGTCAGTGAGAATGTCACTTTGAAAGTAATTTACAAGTCTAAGCAAAAGGATAAAGAAAGATAAATCAGACACACACTAACCAAGAGAAGGCCGAGCAGCTGTACTGTCTGAAGCACGCTTAGAATGACGGATGTCCCCGGGGTAGAGGCCTGGGGGGTCAGTTCATTACACACAGTCCTGTGCACTTCACACACCTCGTATCAGAGCTTCCAAGTAAACGAGCAGAAACTGGTAGAACTACTAGAAGAGCCCAACATGTGTAATTAAATGGATCTCAGCATGCAATTGATGAAACCATCGGTCGGTGAGATACAGCAGGTTTAATACCGGCATCCTGCCTAACCTTACAGTTAGCACTCCTAACAGAACTCTTTATGTGCGCATGGGATATTTAAATAGAGACCATTTTGTGTATCATGAAGCCAGTGGCAATGAAAAATACTAATAGATTTTATTTTTAGAACACTTCTAGTTTTATAGAAGTCTTAATACATTTTAAAGGATGACTCTGAGTAAATAAAATTTTAGGACTCCAGCATAGTCAAATTGAAATCAATCACATTGCCTAGAAAATCTTCCCAACACTTAGAAATTAAACAACACATTTCTAAATAATGTTTTCTTAAAGAAGCCACAAAAAATTAGAATATGTTTTGAACTGAATGGAAATCAGTGAGTAGGATGCAGCTAATGCAATATTAGAGGAAAATTTATAGTATTAAACGGTTATACTTAGAAAAGAAAAAAGTTCTGATATCTAAGCTTTTATCTTGAGAGATTAGAAAAGATCAAGTGAAATTCACAGATTAGAAAGGGCAGAAATAGTAAAGATATGAGTAGAAATCTGAAATACAAAACAGATAAACTGAAGAAAAGTCAGCTGATAAAGATCAGTAAAACTGATTAATCTCTAGCTGAACTGGCCAAGGAGAAAGAAGACGCAAATTATTCACTGTATCTGTAGGAAAGGGAATACCCCACATTAATCAGCAGTGTGAAAATGGGTTCAGTATGTGGATGGCATCTGAAACACGTGAAGAGTACGAAGCAGGTCGGTGCCTCTCGCGGTGGCAGGGGCATATTTCGCGTGGACTGGGAAGGGAGCACTCGTGGGCTTGCTGGGAGGACGGAGGAGTTCTGTGTCTTGGTCGCACTGGTGGTCACATGGGTCAAAACATCACTTAAAATTCACCAAACCGGACACATCAAGTGGCTATTTTTAACATGTAAACTATACTGCAGAGTTGGTTAGGAAAACTTAGCACTACTGACTTAAGAGCTGTGCAAAATTTATAAGCATAATTTAAAAATCTGTTTTAAAATTGATATTCTGTGAATGCCTCTTACTTGCCCAGGATCTTTATTAAATGACATCTTCAAAGTGTCCTCCTGCCCCCAGCAAAAATACATATCAATAAACCTTCTGGCTGGATGAAATCAGCTGCGACTCTGCTGGGTATTTGGGCCTTGTCTGCTCAGAGCGCACATTGGTGAGCGTGGACATTGCCACATCAAGGAGGAGGGCTTCTTCATCTTCTGTCTTCATCCAGGCTGGCCAGGCTGTTTCCCTTCCCAGGAGGAATCTGTACCTATTGTGGGTGCTTCTAATACTGCGCAGGAAAACACCGAAGACCTTGATTTCTGTTTCCTCCATCTTTCTGTGCTGTGTCTATTGCATTTCTCTGAATGCTTCTCCTTATCCATGAAGGAAGGCGTAAGTGTTTTACTGCCGGGTTAGTCTGTGTGATCTCAGGCAGCTTTATGTCGATACGCTTTTAAGGTATTAGCTAGTTTCTAAACAGTCAAAACTCTTGCCTGCTGTTTTAGACTTTTATAAATAAGAGTAGCAGAATATGGGCACTCCCTTTTTGTTTTTTTATCTGAGTTGAATATCCCCGTGGCTCAGGAGGTCCAATAACTGCGTGACTGTGTTACAGTAAAGTCCAGCTATTCGCAGCCCCCACCGCAGGCCATTTCCCGAACCTTCTCCTCACGGACAGCCGTCTTCTTAAAGAAGTGCACATTCCAGCCTCTGCACATCCATGTTTCCAAACATGCCTGTCTTTCGATTCATTAATTTAAACATTTACCGGATTAAGTAATGGATTTCTTTTGCATCAGGAGCCACCTCCTCTGCTTTGCTCCCTTCTCTCTCTCCCAGTTCTCTTGTGCTTTTTGATTAAATCAGCATTTATTGCTACTTGCATGTATACAATCCCAGATAATGTACTGTATTTCTGTTTTAGAATTTTTCTCTCTTAATAATTGTCTTTTTTTCCTTTGTGCAAGTTTCTGTATTCATATTTATAATTCTTTTCCTACCTTTTAAGCCTCTTAGAACAGTTTCCTACAAGGTTAGTGCGCGTTGCAACACATGTATGTCATTTAACCTTTCCTGCTAGCCACAGTAGGGTAAAAAGATGAAATTAATACTCTGTTACTTAACGCAGTTTGTCCAACTTGTTACTCTGACAGATCCCAGTATCTGAGACCCTTGATAATTTGAAGCCAAGTCTTCCCATCCATGTGCCTTTCACCCCCGCAGAGCACCCCTTCACGCCTCTGCTGGCCGCGTGGCTGGAGGCTGGCGTGCGGACGCAGTGCAAGCGTGAGTCACACAGACGCCCTCCCGCCCGAGCTGCAGCCCTGCCGCTCCCTCCATGCTGTGTTCCCGACCCTCCTTGCTCTTCTAGATTGGAGGCCCCTCCCTGAGTTCAGGTCTTGTCATTTACAGGCAGCGTGAGGAAGGAGGCTCACTGGTGACGCTGATCTCTAGAGTCCCACTGGCAGGCTCCTGTGAAGTTCCTCAGATTTTGCAGAAGTTCCCTTTGCCTCGCCCATTCCTGTGCTGCGTCCTTCTGTCCCCTGGGTGCCCTCTTCCACATCTTGGTTTATTTCTTCACTCAGATGAACGACACGCTGAGGAAAGGGGGTACGGATGGCAGAGTCTGTGACACTGTTTTCTGTGTCCCTCCTCACTTGATGACTGTGGGGCAGCTTGTCTGGAACTCATCTTCCTCCGGCGCCCTGCGGACATCGCTGCCTTGCTGGCTAGTGCTCAGTGCAGGTCTCACGGAGCCTGAAGCCACCTAACCACCTTTCCCTGAAAGTCAGTGTTCGTCATCGTAGAAACATAGAATGTACCCTTGTCCATGTTTCTCAATGTGATGAACACTTGAAAGACTGCCTTCAATCAGTTTCTGTTGCTTTCTTGTATTTTTATTTTGGTTTGTTTGTTTGTTTTAGGCCTTACTTTCTGAGGGGGGATTTCTTCTCCTTTGATCTGAGTATTTAGCTGAACTTGTCAGTTTTGCTGTCTGCAGCTTCAAGAGGGATTTGTTGTTCTTAGATGATATTCTGTTCTTAGCTTATACATACAAGGTTTGGTCTTATTTCTGAGCGTGTCTTAGTAATGCATCTTTTAAATCATCCTGTTCTGTGCAGTTTTTCCTCCAAGGGACTTTTTTCCTGGTTTGGGTCTCTCTGTGTGATTTTCCTATCATCCATAGTGCTTGTGTGGGATGGAGAAGATGCGCCTGCAGCCTCTCTGGCAGGTGGAGGGCCCTGAGCCGGTGAGAGAGGCCTGGCAGCCTGGCCAACATCCAGGGCCTCGACGTGGCTGGAGCCCCACACGCCAGTGGTAGTAGATGTGGTCTTCCCGCTTGTCTGGTCAGACAGCTAGCAGTGCTCCTGCCTCGAGGTGCACACTCGATGGGGAAGGAAGGCTGGAGCCCGCTGGTCCGTGTGTACATAGCAGAGTTATTGTACCCTGTTTCGGGTGGAGAACTTACACCCTCTGCTGTGCCAAGCAAGCTCCAGTCCAGGGGCCTTCTGAGTTACTTTTTCCAAAGAGTAGATCTCCAGATTTCTGCAAAAGTGTGAGTTGGCTCTGAAGTTGGGGCACTGGTGGGGGTGGCATCTGGATCTTGTCAGCTCCACACACCCACAGAGAACCCCACTCCTCCTTCCATTACGGTGCTGCTTCATGAGCCCCATGAGGACTCTGGGGTGCACATGGGGGCAGTTCTTGGCTTCTCCTCTACTGGCTGGAACTGGCCTGCCAAGCTGCTAAACGGCCTCATGTCCGGCCAGAGTCCCGTTACCGCTGTCTCTGCTCTTTTCCCCTTGTGGATTTGTCTTCTTTCAGTTGTGAGATTTATAAAACAAAACATTCACCACTGTAGCCATTTTTAGGTGCGCAGTTCAGTGTGGGTAAGTACATTCCGCTGTGTTCTGTGTGCTCATCTATGACAGCCAGAACAGGTTTTGTGTAGGGAGTGTTGGCCCGGAGCGCAGCAGTGTCTGAGCAGAGAGCAGAGGCAGGCGTGTGTGACCCGCCTGGCGGGAGCTCCCGTGAGCCTGGGGCGGTGGGATTTGTTTCCCTCCTGGGAGAGCAGTCTGATGGTTCGCTGGCATAATTGCCCCTTAAAAAAGGTTCCGGTTGGAGCTCTCAGGCCTGGCATTCCAGGAGCTCCGCGATCTGGCCTGCCCACCCATGTCCCCCGCCGTCTGTCGTTCCTCCTGCTGCCCACTCACTGTTCCAGGCTTGTGGCGGCTCCGCAGCCCCCTCACCGTGCTCCCCTTCCGTCTGCCTCGTCCCTTGAGCGCCCAACTCCCCGTCCTGCCTCTCTGCCTCCGGGCCCAGCCTTTGGTTGCTCCTCTTTCTCCTCCCTCCTGACCTGGTCCTTACCTTGACCTTCCCACCCCGCCCCGCTCTCGGGTGTCTGTTTCTGCCCTTAGTGCCCAGCAGAAGCCCATGGTCAGTGAGATGCTGGATGCCAGGGATCTGAGAAGAGCACTCTTTCTCCTTTCTTGTAGGACATCCGACATGAAGCCAGTGACTTCCCCTGTAGAGTGGCTAAGCTTCCCAAGAATAAAAACCGAAACAGATACCGCGACGTCAGTCCCTGTAAGTATCCATGCGGCCTCCTGGGCTCCCGCCCCACCGCCAGCCGCAGGCCCTCTGCACCCGGACCCGTTCGCTGTAGGTCCGGATAAACGCGTGGCAGTCAGTGGGTCTGTGGCTTGATCATTTCCTGTAGTGGGCTTGAGAGAAGTATAGTAATCGTTCCTTTTTCCACCATTGTAGAAAAGGTAAGGTTACAGTTTTTGGAAAATGTAACAAAGTTCAAAGGCCCCCTTGTTTCAGCTTTGACTATTTTGTGATGAGTCATTTTCCTACCAGCTGAGCGAGTGCGGCAGGCACACTGTGACCTGCCCGGTGACTCAGCAGCGGTTCTTAGCCCCCAGCACTGTGCTGGACGTGGTGATGCCCGCACAGGCACACAGAGGCGGAGCTGTCGCCCCTCCAGCAAACGCCGTCCTTCTTCCCTGCCACCTCTGCCCCCTCTGTCCTTCGCCACTCCCTTCTGTGACCAGCAGTGCGTGTCACCTCCGGTAGTCCGTAGTCGCCTGCCTTCCTGGACTGGCTCCAGTATCCTGAGAGTAAACAGCTGGACATGTTAGAATTTGTGCGAAGCAAGAAGAGCCTGAGCTGAGGTCAGGACCCCAGCTGTGCCTTGTCAGTGATGCCTTTGAATTCCCCCCAGGGCCAGTAGACGTGAGCTGCGGGACAGTGGCTGGGACTCCTCTGTGGCACCTGCTCAGAGTCCTGGGGTTCGGTCCAGTGGAGCTGGAGTGGGTGCAGAGACTGCATCTCGGCCTGGCCTTGTAGAGCTGCGTGGCTGCGGACAAACTGTTCTCTTCTCTGATTGTCCACGCAGAGGGAGTCACACCTCCCAGGAATGTGTGGCCCAGACAGGAAGTGCTCAGCAAACACTGGCCACCAGGGCCTCTGAAGGGCAGCACTGGTGCCCAGGTGACACCTGATCACACCCGGCTCCTGATGCCCTTGGTTTAACATGTCTAGGTTGAGGCACAACGTATGTGTTCATTTAAAAATCCACAACAGAAACAAAATCTCTGGTGATTCCACTGGGAGTCCTGGCCGGAAGCTGCTGCCTGCAGACCCTATGTGACGGACCGCGCTCCTCCCTCCCCAGGCTGCTCCTGCAGCTGTGTTTTCTTAGCTGAGGTACAGCACAGACTGTGGTAGTCCTTGCTGTGTTTTCGTAATTTCTCACCTAAATGGTTTTGTTTTTTGGGGTTTTTTTGAACTTTTAAAACAAACTTACAGAAACAATCACAAAGAAAACATTAAAAGGAGACAGGGCAGGAGAAAAAGACTAAAAAAAGAAAGAAAGAAAAATGAAACTAAAGAAAAAGAAAGGAAGAAGGCCAGGATTGCAGCTCTGGGAGCGCACAGGCAGCTAGTCCCGGGGCTCGGGGCTCCGGCCCACCCGGGACTGTGGGTCTCCTCCCGCAGGAGTGTCCAAGCCTCGGGGCCTGGCAGGCATGCCCCTGTACAGTGCTGCCGGGGGACTGCAGGCTCGGAGGCCGCCCCTGTGTCCGACCACTCGTACCCATCAATGCCCAGAGCTGGCCCCACCAAGGCGGTCCCATTCCTGGTCCAAGAGATGGCCCAGAGAGACCTAAGTGGCTTTGGGATCAGTTTTTCAGCTTTTAAAATACTGTTTCTCAGAAACAGCCCCCAACTTTCTCACCCCATCTCATTCTGTACCCTTTTTTCCTCTCTCCTACCCCTGATCTCTAGTGGAGAAGACAATTTGCCATTCCTGCTGTGAAGGAAATAGCTGGCTGTGGGGCAGAGGTCACCTGCTGGGCAGTTCACATACCCACCTGGCAGCCACAGCTCTCAGCCTCTATCTGCTGCTGGGCTCTGGCCACAGCGCTAGGCCCGCTGGCTCTGCCGCGACCCTCTGGTCACCTTGCATTCAGCAAGTGAGGGAGCAAGGCGGCTTGCCCAGCCACTCAGCACAGCAGCACCGGTTACATCCATTCTTTGAAGGTTTTTTTTTAGTCATATTGATATACTTAAAAATCACCCAGTGGTCTCCATGGCGAGAAATAGTATTCAAGGGTAGCTTATTTTAAAACAAAAAAACCCAGCTCTTTGGACTTGGAAAAGTCCCATGCCACTTTTTCCCAGTAACTAATCCTTTTCCTCTTGGCATCAGGGAGGAGGTGCTATTTCTGGGAGGTCACCTGAGTCCATTATCTCTTGTTTTATGCCAGAAATGAAAGTACCCACCTGCCCTTGTTAGCCAGCAGAGGAAGAAGAGTGGCCTTCAGGGATGCTGCTTTCGTGACAAAGTAGTGATGGGGGGGAGGCGGTAGTTTTGGTTTTAAATGACCTGGGGCACAACTTCCAAATGAAATGTATTTCTAAATCTAATCTCAAAGTCACATTTTATATACATTTAGTGTTTGAGGGTTTTTTCCCCCAGAACATTTAAATTCTCTGTTAAATGTCTTTACTGGTGACATTTGAAAGATTTAGAATCAATTAAGCTCATTGTATTTGAATGTAAAAAGAACAAAATAACCGTGTAAAGGAGCCCAAGGTGCAGCTGTCACGCTGCGGTCATAAGACCTACCTGCCGGCTCACTGTGCTGGCCACCGCGGGGGACCACGTGGAATTTGGGGTGTGCTGTGTTTGTTTTAAAGATTGAAGCCACTCTGCTCTTTTGCCCTGTTGAGGTTTGTGCTCGGGTCCCCCGAGCAGAGCCTTGGATGCCCCGCTGGTCTGCCCATTGGAGAGGGTGACAGGGACCTCGGGAAGACACTGAGGACGTAGTCAGGGCTCACCGTGGTTTGTTGCTGGAGCTCTGAGTGTTGGCTTTGAGAAGCTTCACAGAAACCTTTCTGAGAATGACAGTCACCCCTCAGACCACTAACGTCACCTGACACAGCAGGCCTCGGTGGTATGGGCTCCCCTTCTCTGCTGTGGGGAGACCCTCTGCCCCCCAGGAGTAACCCGAGTTCTTGTTCGCCTTTCAGTTGACCATAGTCGGATTAAACTACATCAAGAAGACAACGACTATATCAATGCTAGTTTGATAAAAATGGAAGAAGCCCAGAGGAGTTACATTCTCACCCAGGTAAACAGATTTTACTTTAAAGGTCACCTTACAAAGTTTTAGAATGCTTTTGCCAGTAGTGCAAAGAAAATCTACCACGTCCATTAGGAAATCAGGCTTTTGACAAACCAAAAGCAACCAGAAGGAGGAAGAAGATTCCTGCGGAGGGATAGCTGGCCGTACCCTGCTGTGTTTCCGGGCAGTGTGAGATGAGTGAGTGGGGCCAGCGTGAGTCACACCTGTCATCCAGAGCACTGGATCTCAGGCAGGAGGCTCGTGTGAGTTCCAGGGCAGCCTGAACTGCACGGCAAGAGTCGCTCTCCAAAAAAAAAAAAGGAAGCCTAAGTGGGAGTAAGAGCACCTGGGAAGCTGAACAGAGTCGCAGGGGTCTGAGGACAGGGGCAGTGACACTGGGACCAGAGGAGGCCTGGCTGGGCTGACACAGAAGGATTCGGCTCTGGACCGAGCGCTTCCGGGAGCAGATCGCAGAGGCAGCAGGCGGCCAAGCGCCTCTGCCCAGAGAGCGCTCCTCACTGCGGGCCGCATCCTTTGGCCCAGAAAAAAACTAAGCATCACTAGAGGCTATGAGCAAGCATGAAAAGCACTTAAAATTCCTATTGGCTTTTGGCATTTTTCTGAGAAAAAGAAAAGTCATGAAAGTGGTTTAATAATCAAGCCTCTTATAAAACACTTAATGATGTAAGGCCAGATGACCGTGAGTTATCTGGGAGAGTGGACAAAGCAGTTTGTTTTTAACTAATTTTCTGTAGTCATAACTTGTTACCCGTAAGTTGGTTTACCCTTGAGGGTTTTGTTTTGTTTTTCCAAGTCCACATTGGTTCACCGGTGTTACGTACGGCCTAGGCTACGAGTGGTTTTAAACATTGTAATTCTTCTTGGTATGTGCACGTTAAAACTCAGGTGAAGCAGAAAGCTTTGTGAACAAAGGCTGCTCCGGGCAGGCAGCTGGACCGGGGTGTCTCCTGTGGTCCTCCTTCACCCCTTCTTCCCCACCCCAATTCTCCCCTGTCCGTGACCCAGATCAACCCAGATGCCTCCTGGCCGGGGTGCACAGCATCAGCCAGGATGGGTTCAGGGCAGTCTCTCTGCACCTCTGGGTCCCTGGGATGGGCTGTTGGGGTTGGGGTCCATAAGGAAGGAGCTGCCTGCTTGTGGGGAGAGGCTGAGGCACAAATAACTTCTCCTTTTGGAGGAGTCAGATTTCCTGATTTCAGCCATTTAGCTTTGGGGTGAGGTTAAGAAGCCCTTTGTGTGCCCACAGTAAGGCATCGCATATCAGATAGAGCATTAAGAAATTACATGGATGGGGCTGGGGGTTTAGCTGGGTGGCATAAGTGCTTGCCTTGTAAGTGCACAGTTGTGAGTTCGAGCCCTGGTACTGATTAAAAAAAAAAAAATTATGTGGAAGTTTATAGTGCTGGCTTCCCCACCCCTGGGCCCTGGCAGTCCCTGGGAGCCTGCGGCATCCATCCGTTTTGTGAGGTGGTACCCTGGATGCTGGGGGCTGCTCATGTATCCCTTTTGCCCTGGGGTTTTCAGAAGGAATCAGCAGCCTGGCCCCAAAGTGGCATTCCTCTAGACCAGATGACTACGATGTGTTCTAAGCCAGCAAACCAAGCAAACTTCCCGTTTTTCAGTTTCAGTGTTGTTCATTATGCAAATAACATGAGTCCATATTCTCATTTTGTAAACGAGTAGTGTCAGAGATGCCCTCCTTCGCCTCCCCAGGAAGTGCCAGCCGAGCATGGTAGGCATCTTTCACTTCTTAGCTGGGTTTAATCCTTCAGACCCATTTTATACTGGGCAGTGTCGGGACAGAGGGTGACAGGTGAGTAACCAGGAGCTTGGAGAGCTGCAGCCCTGGAGGACCTGGCACCTGGGGTCTTCTTGCCAGGCTGGAGGATAGGAAGCCCGGGCGGCCAGCAAGGTGCCATGTGACTGCCACCTGCCAGGACTGTCTTTCCTTTAGGCATGTATGTGGTCACTGTTGTCTGAGTCCTTGTCGCACTTACCCAGACATGGGGGGACCTGCCTGGTTGAGGTAATTGGTTTGCAAAGAGTCCAGGAGGACAGTGAGAGGGTGCTGCAGGCTGGCGCCATCAGGAAAAGTGCAGAACGCAAAGAGAAAGAACAGAAGACGAAGGGATATGAACGGAAGCTATTCTAGAAGTGGTCCGGTCCACGGCAGGGACAAACCCTGAACGTGGAGGGGGAGGGAGGTGACCGGTGGCATTCCTCCCCCCAGGCAGCGCTCACAGTTGGTAGCAGCTCAGGGCGTCCACACTGTGTGTCCAGGAAACACCTGCTGGGCTGGAGTTAGATAGGCCAGCTGGTCACCAGGCACCCACCATGCCCCAGTGACATGCAGCCCCAGCTTCTTAACGACCACGTGTGTCCAAATCTCTGGGACCCTTGGTGCGAGGATGAAGGCCCCCTCGTCAGGCCTCCTCGTGAGTAGTAAGAACACTCGCCCACGCACTGAGCCCTTCACATACGAGACTCTAGTTAAATTTTCAATCCTATAGAGAGGTGTTATTTTTAGTCAGATGAGACAAATGGGGAAACGGAGGCACAGAGTGGTGAAATGACTTGCCCGAGATGGCCAGGTGATTGGTGGTTGGTCACTGTGCAGTCCTCCCCCTGCCTGCTCCCAGCTGTCACAGTCCACGTTCCACGCGAGTCCCACAGCCAGCTGCCCACACGGGAAGCAGAAGTGACGAGCACGACCTTCCACTGTGTGGCGGACGTTAGAGCTGCCGCTGCTGCTCTCTAGGCAGGCAGAGGCCACTGCTGTGCCTGAGCTGCAGGGACTCCAGGCACCGTCGCCTGCCGACCACCACCTCAGGTGAGCTCACACCCGGTATGATTCCGGCGTCACACACTGTGTCATCTGTGTTTGCAGGGCCCTTTGCCCAATACGTGCGGGCACTTCTGGGAGATGGTGTGGGAGCAGAAGAGCAGGGGCGTGGTCATGCTCAACCGGTTGATAGAGAAAGGGTCGGTAAGTCATGCATAAAGTTACATTTTTATCCAAGTTTCCACATTTTTCTTCATAAATAACTGTTTGTTGCAAGCAAGTCAATTAAGTGAATAAAAATGGAGAAAAAAGTAAGCTTGCCCTCCACTCCTTACCCAGGCTCCTGTCTCGGGCTGCAGAGCCTGGTGCAGCTACTGTGTGCCACGCTCTCCTGGCTTCCTGAGCGGAAGTCAGCGTGTGAAGCAGCTGAATCCACATGGTTGTTCTAGACCTGCACTGTTTTGGTGTATCCGTCTTCATTGTGCCCACCTTTTGGCCTCTTGTCGAGGTGGCTCTGTGCAGCTGTGGGAGCAGTTGGCCGCCAGGTTAGTCTCGTGCCACGAGGGCCCAGGTGCTTAGCTCTCAGCCATGCTGCCTCGCTGTGAGTGCTGCGTACCTGTGCAAACAGGTGCCCTTCAAGAGATGTATCATTTTGAGTTCTTTGCAACTTTTAACTATCCCCCTCTCGAGTCTCTCCCCGCAGCCGCCTCCTGCTTCTCTGCTCGCTGCCCTCCGTCCATTCTGCACCGTGCGTCTGGGGCTGTCTTTCTCACTTTTGCCTTGAAGGACAGTGTGTGGTGGGCGTAGGGAAGCACACATGTCTGACCTTGCTTACCTGCCCTCCCCGACTGTCCAGACTCCAGCCAGGCCCACATCTCTGCTTTAACCTCTTCGGGGCTGAGAATCTACGTCACAGCGCCCGCCCCCGTCTCACATCCCCATCTGCCCAGGCTGCTGCGGTCAATGGCCCAGCCCCAGAAGCAGCCTCGGACATGTCTCCACATCTCCACACTGTCCAGTGGCCCTGGGGGAATCTTGTGTCCTTCTGTCCTAACTGGGAACTACTGCTCTGTGTGATATTGAGGAATTTAAAGCCAAAATACTCCTTTAGAACCATCAGCTGTAGGTTTTGCTTTTCTTTTAATTTGCTTGTTGCTAGAAGTCCCAGTGATGCCTCTTCGCTGTCCGCACACAGTTGGCCGTGCAGCTGTTGTCACTGTGCATGTTCGTCCCCGGGCCCTGCTCCTCTTTGGCTCCCACCCAAGGCTGACGGTCATAGGCCACAGAGCCAGTCACAGCCTTCCCACTGGCTTACTGTGCCGGCCATCCAAAGCCGTGGCTAGTCGCTCTTGTTTCCCTTGGTGACTGTCCCACCACACTCGGCATGCAGTTGGCGTGGAAAGCGGTGCATGGTTTGAGAGTCTCGCAGTTTGTTTGGTACCAACATTTCCAGCTCCGCATCAGCGTACTCACTCCCCGAGGGCCGGCGGGGAGCCCGCTGCGGGGCTGCAGCCGGAGCTGCTCGGTTGCCTCCCCACGGCCTGCGGTGAAAGCCCAGCAGTTCCCTTTGGCGCACATTTGCTTTCTGGTTTCCTTCCTTTAACAAGTAGTGTAGGATGTCCCCTCTTGCTTTTGGCAACCTTGTTACCTCGTGGAACCCGGTGTGTGTTTCTTGGAAATCGGAGATGCAGGTGACTGTATGTTAGCTTGGGGTCATCCAAACGCCCAGGGTTCTCATTGGTTAGCTTTGAGGTGGACTTTAGACACGTCAACATGGAGTGTGCTTGCGTGTGAGGGTTGGAGATGCTGTTTGCACCTGGAAATCACGTGGGGGAGCTTAATTTGCCATTCCAGAACGTGGCCTGCTGGAGTTCCAGTGCTTCTATGCACAGGGTGCTGATTTTGGGTTAGCACTGGGCACTTTAGGCTCCACACATCTCCCAGACTCCGCCCACCGAGTTCTCTGGGTTAATGACTCTTCGGGGCAGCCGAATCATCCATCTCCAGGTCGTGTAGATAACGTGCGTGGGTTTTTCCTAAGATCGCCTAGCTGTTTGTTTTGAAAGGCCCAAAGGACTCTTGCTACCATCTGCCTTCACAGGGACACAGGGACTCTAGCATGGTGACACTAGCATGTTGGCACTGGCACATTCCAGTGTAGGGTGGGTCAAGAGAGCGTCTTGGAGATGCCTCGCTCTCTAGCGCTCCGCCACCAACTACAGCCTCCGCCGTGGGCTGCTTCCAGCGAAAGTCAGGCTCCCGCTGCGGTTGGTGCACTCAGTGTGGCAGTGCCAGAGCGGGGCTCTGCTGCTGTGTTTTTATTATTTTTATTTTGAGGTGGGGTCCCCCTGAGTTGCTCAGGCTGCCCTGAACTTAACCGGCTTCTGCCTGGGCTTTCCAAATAGCCGAGAGTATAGGCGTATGCCACCATGCCTAGGCGGTTCTAAGTTCAACATTGATTGATGGGTACCTGGGTATGTACAGAATTTCTCCATAATCTTAGTTTTTACCCAGATGACAAGATTAAGCTTCCCTTTTGCTTCTGAAGGTGAGTGCTTGGCGTGTAGAGGTGAGTTAGATGGCAGCTTGTCTGCCCTGCTCGTGAGAAGAGTGTCAGCCCCTCCTCTGCCTCAGAGGCCGTCCTGCATTTCGCTTCGTCGTTTCTCTGCTGGCTGGTAGAGCCTGCTGCAGCACAGGCGGCCCGGAGCCCACCAGGTCAGCTCTGGTTCTGGAGGCTTGGAGCAGCAGACAGTCTGCCCGTCAGACGCGTCCGTCCAGTTGTTCTGTGGCCTCACTCTCAGCCGCCCCAGGCACTCTGGCTCCGAGGGGGCCTTGGCATCCAGTTCATGTGTCTGAGTGGTGACATTGCTCCACGATGACAGGTGGGCCCCATCCGAGAGGCTCATCTGCAGCGGGTCATCATCAGTGTGGGGAAATGACGCGGGTGGAATTGGCCAGGCTTTCAAACAGACTGGCGTCGGGGCCCTTGAGCAAGCCCTGCTGGCATTTGTCCTGGCACTGTGAAGTACACTGTTCCACTGGCATCACACCCAGGAATTTCTTCACTCGTTTCTCTCACTTTTTGCTGTTTGCTTTAGTTTTGTTTGGGGCACCTTCCAGCCCCAGAGCTGCAGGACCAAGAGGCTTCTGGGTTTTGGCTTCACCCCTTGGCTAGCTCCTCCTCAGTCCTCAGACAGTGTGGCAGGTTCTGGTCCCAGGGCTGGCACTGGCTGTACCAGCAGCTTCCACGGGCCCCATTTCCTGCTGTTCTGCTGAGCCTGGATCTTTCCCATCAGACCGTCCTTGTCAGCCTTCAGCCCTGCCTGCTCCCTGCTGCTCCCTTTGACCTCTGTTTCTTATAACTTGGGGCAGATTGAAACATCTCCCTCTGAGTTCCCGGGGCACAGCCACAGCATTTCCCCTGACAAATGGGAAGTGTCCCATTGTCACTGCAGGGCCCGGCCACAAAGCAGCACCGGCCATGAAGCAGCTCCCTCCGCCCGCGCTGCCCTCGGCCCTGGTGGTCAGCACATGACAGAGAGCTGTGCACACTCATGCACACTCGCTGACATCTCTGGGGCGAGACTCCGGAGGCCCATTGTCGCTCGTGCTGGGAGCCTGGCTGTGCAGCCATGGCTGCCCGCTGTGTTTGTCCAGCAGAATCATCACCAGTAGAAATGTCCAGGCAGCAAAATGCAAAGGTGCCACTCAATTCCTTTCTTAAACTTCCAATGAAAGTGAGGCTTTGCGGGTTAGATTTCTTTTAAGGGACGGGATTGCTTCTTTTAAAGTGAGCCTTAGTGATCTGCATTTAAATCAAGACCATTAAGTAGTTCCTGAAATTATCAAGGGAGAACATCAGAGGTATTTTTATGAATTAAACCCCGCCAAAATGAAAGCTGAGCCCCAGCTCCTCCAGGAGACCCTGAAGACTTTGCTTCTGCTTTCGCCCTTCCAAATGTTGCTCCAATGGCCTCCTCGGCCCTGTTCTCACTGCCGTGGGTGTCTTCCCAGAGTGAGGGGTCTGTGGACTGTGCTGGCAGCTCGGTCTGGTCTGCCTAATGGCTGAAATAAAGGCATTTGGGGAGCAGCAGTCTGGGGCTCCCAAACTGGGGGACCTAGAGTCCCGTAACACCCCACTGCTGTGGGAAAGCCAGGGGCTGCCGGGCAGGACGTGACAGCAGTTGGATCAGCATCTGCCTCAGCCTCCCCTTCTCCTGAGCAGCAGCCCACTGTGCTGACTGTGTCCGCCACACGCAGAGAACCTCACAGATGTGCTTCGAGCCTCCTGTCTTAAGAAAACAATGGCTCATGATAACCCAGCGTTATTTCCTCCCTTAGGTAAAATGTGCACAGTACTGGCCACAAAAAGAAAACAAAGAGATGGTCTTTGATGACACAAATTTGAAATTAACATTGATCTCAGAAGACATCAAGTCGTATTACACAGTACGACAGCTAGAACTGGAAAACCCCACGGTAAGTGCGCCGCTGGGGTGCTGCTGGGTGGCCCCGTCCCTTGGGTGATTGATGGTCCTCGCACCCTGCACGTAGGTGGTTTCAACACCGTGGTGAACAGAGCTCGCCCAGGTGAGCAGGGCACCAGGGAAGCGGCAGTTTCTCAAGTGAAAAGGCTCTGTCCTTGTCTGTGCGGCTGTGGAGGAAAGGACTGGAGTGGTGGCGTTGGTGGCCCGCAACTTAAGTGGCAGCAGAGCATGCTGCCTTTAGGCAAGGAAGGCCCCTGGACTCCCTCCACTTCGCTGGCCAGTGGAGGTGTCCCAGGCGAGGTCTTGGGACTATTTGCTGTCGGCAGAATTTGTAACACAGCTGCTTGTGGTCACTGAAAGATGGTCTTGGAATTCGACAAGGCACTTTGCTAAGCAGCCGTGCCATGGAAGGCCCTGGCCATGAACATTCAGAATAATTCACCAGCAACTATGACTGAGGAGTTCAGGGACTCAGTGGAAGGGGCTCAGAGCAGTCCCAGGGGACACTAATGAACCTGATGGCCAGCCACCAGCTCCAAATTGGCCAGGTTTGAATCCTGGCCTGCCACTTGATACTTGGGACATCACCGCTTTGGTGTCTCCATCTCTTCTTATGTCATTGAGGCTTCGCAGGGGGTCCAAGAAGTCACATGAGGACAGGGGTCACAGGCACCATGGGAGTGGCACGGGGAGAGTCCAGGAAAGCTGAGAGGGAAGAGGAGCAGGGCCACCGCAGCGGGCCTTGCTGGGCAGTGCCGAAGCCCAGGAGCTGCTGCTGAACGATGTACAGCGGGCCAGGAGTCCCCAGCGCTTTCCGCTCACCCTGGCTGCACGGCCCTGGAGCCACAATCCTGCCTCAGCCCCTCTGAGCAGTCTCAGGGAGAGCGTGGCAGCGTTCCTAGGGTTCTGACCTCGCCTGTTAGCATTTGCAGTGACTCCTGCCTGGAAGAGCGCTCGCTGGGGGAGCAGAAGTTACACAGAGAGAGCACCCGAGGTCATTGCTGGCCCGAGGGGACCCAGTGAGCAATGCACTTGGATTCCGTGATTTCTGTCCCGATGACTCTCTTAGCATCATCCTGAGTGTTTTTCTCTTTCAGACTCAAGAAACTCGAGAGATCTTACATTTCCACTATACCACATGGCCTGACTTTGGAGTCCCGGAATCACCAGCCTCATTCCTGAACTTTCTTTTCAAAGTTCGTGAGTCGGGGTCTCTCAACCCGGAGCACGGCCCCATCGTGGTGCACTGCAGCGCCGGCATCGGCAGGTCGGGAACCTTCTGTCTGGCCGACACCTGCCTCTTGCTGGTGAGGAGGCCCTCACAGGCTCTGGGAGGCAGGAGGTGCCTTTGAGCACCCCCTGCCTGGCTGTCCCCACGTGTGCATTCCTCAGGCAGCAGCCAGGGCTGACCTCGGCTCGTTTCCTTCAGTCCCGGGCCTGAACCTCACCCGGGGCCTTTAGGCTGAGCCGTGTTCATAGACCCTTTTTATGTTTTAAATTTTTTTGTTTTGAGACAGTCTCACAAAACTTCTAGTTGCTCAGACTGGAACTACTTCCTCTTGTCTCAGCCTCTCAAAATCCTGGTGACCTGCGTGTGTCACCAACTGCGCTCTGAGCCTGGCTTTCTAGCAGCTCTCCAGAGTGAAGTGGCTTTGCCTTAAGTAGCTCTTTCCTTAGGCTGCTCCCCGTGTTAAAGTGGAGTCCAGGCGGCCAGCGTCTCCCTCTTCTGAATTCTTTCAGCCCTGTACCCCAAGGCCCTAGTTTCACCACGGTTTCTGGGATTCCCTGCCTGCCCGCCCCTCTGTGAATTTCCTAGTTGAGCTGCGCTCCTGAGCGGCCTCACCTTGCCCTGCGGAGCTGGCCCCGGCTGAGTGTTGCCTCCTGTCTGGCTTTCAGATGGACAAGAGGAAAGACCCTTCCTCCGTGGACATCAAGAAAGTGCTGCTGGAGATGCGGAAGTTCCGGATGGGGCTGATCCAGACGGCCGACCAGCTGCGCTTCTCTTACCTGGCGGTGATCGAAGGGGCCAGATTCATCATGGGAGACTCCTCCGCGCAGGTCAGCTCGGCTTCGGCCAGATCCAAGTGCAGGCACTTGCAGTTCTGTCTTTTTGTTTTTCCTGTTCGTTTTGCGGTGCCGGGGAGCAACCCCAGCCCTCTGCCACTGAGCCACAGCCCGCAGCCTGGCCCGGGTTTGAGGGGGCCGTCAGCTGTAAGCAGTCCCATTCTGTCAGGTGGCAGAGGAAAGAGCAGTCCTTGGTACTTAAAATAGCTGAAAAGTTGTCTAACTGTTCACCGAGCCCCAGATTTTGCCTTTGAAGTGCTCACCCAGAGGGCACTGATAGGACAGGCCTGCGGGGACAGAAGCTGAGAGCCTCTTGCCAAGTGGCGTGTTCATTTATGAGAGTGGCTTTCCTGCCCATCAGCCAGAAGTGCATGCTGACGGGCTCTCCCTCTGCTCTTTAAGGATCAGTGGAAGGAGCTTTCCCACGAGGACCTGGAGCCCCCACCGGAGCACGTGCCCCCTCCTCCTCGGCCGCCCAAACGAATCCTGGAGCCGCACAATGGCAAATGCAAGGAGTTCTTCCCAAACCACCAGTGGGTAAAGGATGAGAAGGAAGACGGTAAAGATGGCCCCGTCAAAGAAGAAACCAGAACCCTCTTAAGCGTCCCCTACAGCGTGGACAGGTAATGGTTGGGGTGAGGAAAGTGACCTCCTGCTCTGGAAACTCATGCCTCCCTCTCTGCAAGCCATGCTTCTGTGTCCATGGGAAATGCAGCCACCTTGGAGAGCTGTCCCTGTTGAGTTTAGAGGATGCTCTCTTCTGCCCTGCCCTGCCCTGCCCTGCCCTGTCCTGCCCTGTCCTGTCCAGGGCACGGTCCTAGGAGGCCATCAGCTTCCGTAGTGCTCTAGCTCCACCCCGTGGTGCTCACTGGAATTGGGCTCATACTAAGTAACCACTGGTAACCTTGCCCATCCTGGGCTTCCAGCGGGTCCTGAAATGTATTGTCCAGCTGACCGCATAGCTTCAGTCCCCAGGAGAGACTTTGGGGAACCCTCCTTAACCCTTCTGTGCGTTGTGATTAAATTCATTGCATTCTGCTTCCTTGCATTGACAAAAACCTCACCGGGCGCCTACTGATACAGAGTACTGAGATAAAATTGGACATGCGCCCTGGTCTGTTGTGGTCCTTCCTGTGGGAATGCAGCAGGCTGCAGGGCTTGTGGTGGGTGCTGAGGTGGTCAGAGAAGACTGCCTAGAGGAAGGGGCACTGCCTGGAAGCTTGGAGACTGACTGGCAGAGCCCTCGGGTGCACCCCTCTGGAGGTTAGGGTGTGTGCTTTGACTCGGGAACGGTGCCCGTTCCATTCTGAGTGGAGCATGCAGTGATTCTCGGACAGGCACAGACAGGAGGGCAGCTGTCTCGCTGCGGTGTCCTTGGCAGAGATAGAAATTAGATCGCTGGTGCCAGGGGCGTCTGGAGATGAGGGAGGCAGTGCCCTGCCTGGGTATGCTGCTGTTGGTGCAGGAGACCTGGGTGCAGTGGTGTGCCCCAGGGGTCCCCAGCTGAGCCGAGCTGCACAGAGACTGATTACCCAGGCCCCCTGCACCCTGCCCTGGCATGCAGGCTGCCCGCAGTACCAGGAGTTTGGGGTATCAAGCAGGCCTCAGGCCGACACAGTGTCTGTTCCAGCCTGGTCCTCTGGCTGGCTGCACGGTCAGTGTCACCATCACCTTCCTGCGTAGAACTGCTTCCTAACAATAGTGCCTTCCCATCTGTTTCCCCAAGGCGAGTAACCCAGCTGTCCCCTTCCTCAGCAGGAGCCGAGACACGGAAATAAGGAGTCGGGTGGCCGGTGGAGGTCTGCGCACTGCCCAGGCCGCCTGCCCTGACAAGGGGGAGCCGTCGCCGCCCAAGGAGGAGCAGCGGGAGCGCGCGCCCCCACCCTGGAAGCCCCTGCTGGTGCATGTGTGCATGGCCACGGTGCTCACGGCCGGCGCGTACCTCTGCTACCGGGTATGTTTCCACTGACACGGCGAGGAGCAGCGCAGGAAGCACTGGCCGCGCCGGGTAGGATGCAGCTCTGTGGAGCGTCTGAGCCAGTCTCAGAAGGAGCGGAGCACGGTGTTCGAAGTCTGGAACTGTGCAAGGGCTAAAGAGAGAAGCAAGGGTTGCTGCACTGGGGTTTCAGGAGCCCTGTGGTCCCAAGAATATAAGAGTCTAATCTCAGGGCCTTAACCTATTCAGGAGTACGTAGAGAAAATGCCAAATACGCGTCTCTCTCTTTCTCTTTCTCCTTCCTTCCTGCCCTCTCTCTTTTCTACCCCAACTCCTCTTTCTCTCTCTGTCGCTTGCTTTCTTTCTTTCATTTGTTTTTGAAAAAATAGAATTACAACACATTGTTGTTTTTAACCTTTATAAAAAGCAGCTTTTTGTTATTTCTGGAAAAAAGACGACGAGGCACTTATGAAACTTCCTTGTACCCTTACTAGATGGTGTAATGAGATACACAATTTATATTTGATTTCCCAGGGAAAGAACCCCAAACTTTTACGAATGTAAACTTCCTTGGAGAAGAGGGTTAGGACGCCGTGGTGCGGGCACGCCTCTGCCCCTCGCACCCTGAGCCCGACAGTGCCTGCGAGCTTTCCTGTTCTGAGAAGAGAACACTTCACGGCATCTCTAGAAAACAAAGCCTGCTTTGCTCAGGGCGCCCCTGCTCATTTTTCCACCAATCCCTCCTGGTGACAGTCGTGTTGCTCATGCGCCAGCCCTCCTCACACCATTCCTGCAGGCCCCGCCATGCTCAGGGTCAGGTTCACCCTCAGGCTGGCATTGCACCCTGTGGTTTCCACTTCATTTAGAAAATAAGTGCCATTTTGGTAAAAACCCACACTTTAGAAATGTGCTGCTGTTACAGGAAGGGAAGGGATGGGGTAGTCTTAGAAGCCGTGGAAATTGTCCTGCAGGACTTTTTTCATCCATTGAAATATTTTACCTCTTCCCAGGTGGCCACTTCTGATGGTGTAGCAGAATGCAAACATTTTTTCCTTAAGGGTGATTTTTTGGGGAAAAGGTTATCGGAAAAACACCTAGACCCGCCTTGGCTGGGGCGCCCTCAGAGGCTGGTGTGGCCCGGGTGATCCTGAGTCAGGCCGCTCTGTGCGTGGGTCTGGGCTCATCTGAAGTGGTTTCATTTCAGTTCCTGCTCAACAGCAGCATATAACCTGACCCTCCTCCATCCACCTCCACCCTCTGTCCGCCTCTGCTCCTGCCGAGCAGGCAGCCGGGTAGGTAAGGGCCGCCGGACAGGACAGCACAGAGAGCCGAGCCGAGCCAGACCGAGCCGGCCGAGCCGAGCAGGGCTCCGCCCGCGAGGACGCGTGCTCTGCCGCAGGCTGCCGCACCCCACCCGGCCGGTGTCTCGCCCCTTTCTCCTTTGGCTTCTGCTTCTGCTTCCCCCTCCCGCTCCCCTGAGTCTCGAATCCACGGCCATTTTTTCAGAAAAAGCAAAAGAGGACCATGCTGTGGCGCAGTGGGTGGTGGCCCTCGCCAGTCTCAGGGCTCTCCCCAGCCAAGCACTCCCGCTCAGCGTGGCCTCCAGTGTCCCAGGCGGGCCGCACGTTGCCTGTGTGGTCAAAGCCTTTCCACTCTTATTTATTTTTAATTTTTTTCCCCAAAGGCATCCATACTGCACTAGCATTTTCTTAAACCAATAATGTATTAAAAATGTTTTGATGTCAGCCTGCATCAGGGGCTTTATCAAAAAGTACAATAATAAATCCTCAGGTAGTGCTGGGCATGCAAGACTTTGCCACGAGCCTGCTGCGTCAGCCCGGTGCTGGGAAGGAGGACGGTGTATTATTACGTAGTGATGCTGTGGGTACCGTGAGAAGCTAGAACACTGCTCTAATATATAATGGACACTTGGGTATTTAATAAGATACGCGATGTGAGAGGGCCTTGCCCGGGTCTTCTCCCCCATTATCTGCTAGAACCTTGTTCTCCATCACCGCTTTCCCCGTGTGTGTTAGAATGCATGTAAGGTCTTCCGTGTCCCCCCATGAAATACCATGTGCTTGAAACGAGAAACTTAGATTCCTGCTCACTAATGTGCCCGGTCCGCGTCCGGCCCACCCCGCACGGTCTGGCTGTCACATGGCTGCGGTTCCGCAGGCTGTTGCTGAAGTGATCACCGTTCAGCGCAAGGGCGACGATGTTTTCCAGTAGTGGATAGTGGCCCGATTCCCAGCCTGACACTCCGTCACTTCCTGGCGAGGCCCGGCCTGCCCTGGCCCCGCGGGTCTGCTGTAACTGAGACATTCCAAGGGGCGGCCAGCCACAGCCGCGCCTCATGCTCTGGACCTCTGGGGCCGGCCTCCCCTGTCCCCATCCGTGCTCCCCTGGAGCGGCGTGGAGCGTGCAGGGAAGCAAGGCAGTCGCGGAACCAGCGTCCTTGGAACGCGCAGGCCATGGTCCTCAGAGTCAGCCTGCACCGGCCGCCCGGCCGCCCTGCCCAGCGCCGCCTGCCTGCCCTTGAGCCCCGTGGGGACTGCTGGTGCTCACGACCCTTCCCGAGAGGAACTTACGACCTCCACACTCGGTGGCTTTTTAACAGGAAACAGTCAGGCAGCTGCAGCCCGAGCTGCTCTCGTGCCAGCATTTTCACATTCTGCCTTTCCCGTGGGACAAGCCAGTACAGAGCGACGGTTCTGTGGGAGAACTCTCGAGGGAGCCTTGGTGAGGCGCGGAGGAGCCGGGTGCCGCCGCGAGCATCTCTGCGCTGGGCTTGTTTCCCCAGAGTCCTGTATCCGTGCGAGTGTCTGGGTGTGTACATACAGTCGCCTTTCCAGGGGCTGTCCTGGCCCGCCTTCTGTCCCCGGAGAGGAGACGGTGGCGGGGCTCTCCATCCTGTTATGCATATGTTAGAGAGGTATCGAGCTGCTCTGCTGTATGCCTTAAGCCAGTATTCACTCATCCGGCCACTGAGTTTTTACAATGGCCATGGAAGAAACCATTTTTACAAAAATCAAAACAAAAGCAGTGAGGTGTTCGGCATAACACCTGTCCAGGCTGCATGACCAGGTGGGTAGGGGCGCGTGTCTCAGGGTCTTCTGTGACCTCACAGAACTGTCACACTGTACAGTTTTCCAACTTGCCATATAAATAATGGGTTTGCATTTTAGTTGCAACAATAAAAACTGTTTTTCTAAAGAACATGGCTTTGGGTGCTTCCTATTTCTTTGCCTCGTGGACCCGAACCAGGGCGGACACTGTCTGTTCCCAGCCTGCTGATGTGAGGCAGATGGTGCCGGTGCAGCGGTCTGCATTCTCCTGGGGCTCGAGAGTCCTCGCTCGCTGGCGAGCTCGACACGCCAGGCCTCTGCCATTGCCTTCAAAATCCCGCGCTTGGAAGGTGTCGGGCGCTGGCCACCCTCACAGGACCTCACAGGTCGCTGTACTAACCTCCCCACCACCGGTCAGTTGCCTGTCAACACAGAAGTCCCTCGTGTCAGCGTGGTGCTGAAGTCACACCCAGCAGAGGACTGACTTAGAAATTAGATGGGGTGTAAACATCAGTGTCGTCTTCCTTTTGTGGATAAAACTAAACAGTAAATCTCCCCAAAGGGATGTTGTGACTTCTCCTTCTGAAGTAATTGCAGACCTGCACAATATTGTAAAAATAGCCTGAGGAGTCCCTTACATCCTCCAAGGTGCCAGGCTGTGGCCCCTGCAGGGCTGAGGTGCTGTGACCTCAGGATGCCACAGCACCCGGGGCCCTGGGACGCTGCTGTCAGGCCACTGCCCCATGTTAGGGTTCAGGTGTGGAATAAAGATCCAAACTTACAACTTGGGGACAAAGTGCAGAGGGTGCAAAGGCCACGCTGCAGAGTGGGTGTCCCCAGCGCCTGAGGCCCCCCCTGCCCACGTCCTTACACGTGGTACAGCTGGGCTGTTAGGACGCAGGGCTGGCTGCCCTGGCAGGGTGACTGGGGAAGCAGCCACAATCTCCTTTCTCAGGTGAAGTGAAACCCTCATTAAAATAGCTCTTTAATTGCAATGTCAGAAATCAGAACATATAAACAAGGCAAATAAATACTAATTTAAACCAAAAATGCACAAACTATATACAGGAAGCTTAGGTGAAAATGGTTTCCAATGCCGCAATGCCGCAATGCTCCAAGCCCTAGTTCGATCTACGTTGCTAACACAGAGGCATCTCAGGACACAAGACTTTTTTGTTTTTTAAATACACTTAAATAAGAAACAAATTTTCTTTCTCTAAAGCAACACACTCTTCAGTGGAATCTTTCTTCAGGCCAGCCCTGGCTCCTGGAGCAGTTCCTTTAATTGGCCATCCGTTCATTTGTTTCAGGAGTTGGATTTCGTTTTGATTTGTATGGCCAGAGCGAATGGCTTAAGCCCTGACGCCGCAGGGCCCTGGCCAGGGTCTTGTCATCTTGGCTTTCTGCTGTTGAACGTGGTAAAACAAGGTCCACAGCTGGCCAGCTGCTGCTCTCTCCTGGCGTTTGGGCTGCAGCTCAGGGTGAGGGGGCTTGGAGAAACCCTGGCTTTGAGCCTCTCACTTTCTCCAGCTCGCCAAGGTGGCAGAGCCTCTGTTGAAATGACTCAAACCACTGACTGCAGTCTGTCATTGGCACAGCACGCCAGCTGGCCCGGCTGCCCGCCTCCACAGCGCCGGGATTTATGGAACCCGGAGCAGAGCGAACAATGCACAGGGAGAGTGCACACGCACACTCATCAGCCTGGCCTTGCCCGGCTCAGCCCTTTGGTACGTGGCTGCCTGGCATTGCCAGCTCTTCATGCTAAGGGGGCTCCAATAGATTCCCGGAGGTGGAAACTGGTGCTCGGTGGGGGCTGCAGCCCGGCCCGGGGAGCCCTGTGTGTACACTTGCTCTGCTTCCCTGCAGCGTCACTCATGCCCGGGGCTTTGTAGGTGTCTGAGCGCCAGGCTCTGACCCGCTCACCCTCGGGGAGTGTCCAGCACGCCCCACCCAAACCTCGGCGCTGCTCTGGGACCAGGCAGCGGCAAGGAAATTCTGCACAACAGATCCTCGGACGCTTGTTAGAAAATTGTGATTTCAACATCGGCCTCGGGGCCGAAGTCTGCCCCTTGTTCTGCATGAAGCTTGTCCATCTTCTCAAAAGCCAGACGTCCTTTTTCTCCTGAAACAGAAAAGCGATCACTGTGTTGGGAGGCTGACCCCGCCTCTGTCCTACACTGCCAGGCCGAGGGGACCTGTACTTAGACATGGAGTTCGGGGGGGCCCTGTGCATGGGGCAGCAGAGGGAACCTTGGGGGAGCTCCCACCTGGCAACTCTTGTGGCCTGAGCTTCCCCAACACCACTGACAGTCTGTCTGTGGCAGTCTGCCATCTCCCAGCCCTGCGTGGTGTACACCGAGCGCCTTAACTGAAGTTAAAAACTCAAGAGAAGCACTCGCCGCCCTGCTGTGCGGCAGGCAGCTCTGCCCCGGTGGGGTGCTGGCTAAGTGCAGAGGGGACAGTGCCCTGCGGCCTGTGACCATGCTGCCCACGGCCCGAGAGCCATGAGTGGCCTCCGCTAAGAGCCCCAGGAACCCCACTGCACCACATTCCACTGCAGTGTTGTACTTTACCGAAGGACAGAGTGGCTTCCCGGGCTGCTGCCCGCACGACCTCCAGCTCAGACTGGCACAGGCTGGCGATCTGGTCAACGCTTTCAACGCCCTGCTTGAGGTTAGGAAAATAAGGCTTCAGTAGGGGGGGCATTTGAGGTAACAGGTAGTGGGTTTGGAGTGTGCCCAGTGGTACACTTGCCTACCATGTACCAGGCCCTGGCACCACGAAAGAGGGAGGGAATGGAAGGGGGGGAAAGCACCAGGCGGCAGAACCCATTCCGTCAGTCCTGTGAGACTGGCGCAGACGTGGGCTCAGGGCCCGCAGAAGCATCTCTGGCGATGCGTCCTCAGCCCCGACACCTCCTGGTGAGCAAGACTGTCTTTATGGACACTCTCCTCTAAAGGTGAGACCTGCTTCCTGCTGGCCTTGCTGCTCCTCCTGGCTTCCCGCCTGCCCACCCCCACCCCAGGCAGCTGCACCGAGAACCCAGGACCAGTGGCAGGCTGCTGTCCCGTGGGCCCAGCGCCTCCTGCGCTGCACGCCCCCTGAAGGGGTGCTCCTGGGGCGCTGTTGCCTGTATTGAACCTCTCGTGAGCGGGGGGGGGGGGGGGGGGGGGGGGGGCGTCTTAAACGAGAATGCCAGATGTAGGTGAGGTGGCAGTACAGTGGGCTCTGCTGGAGAAACACGAGGGGATTCAAAGCTGCTGTGTTGTGTGGCCCTGGACAGACACCTGGGCAGTCCCACTAAAGAAGAAGTCTAAAACCCGTGTGGTTTTTAAAAAACAATACACAGGGATGGGGAGAAAGCTCAGCGGCACAGCGCCTGCCTGGCAAGTGTGAGGTCCTGAGTTCAATTCCCGGTACCCCCCAAAAAACTAGGCACAAAAGGTTGGCACAAAAGATTTTTAGGTTGGACAAAAACTATATTTTCTGGGCTGGAGATTTAGCTCAGCAGCATAAGTGCCTGCTTAGCAAGCACGAGGTCATGAGTTTGATCCCCAGTACCAAAAAAACAAAAACAAACAAACAAAAAACCTGTATTTTTTGAGTGGATAAGTAGCTTAATTTAAGGTTACACTCAACAGACTCTTTGTGGAGAATTCTAAAGTGCTCCTGTTTGCTTTTTCCTTGGCACTGAGAATTGACCACAGGACCGCCTGCTTGCCAGGCAGGCGCTGGGCCACTGAGCTATATCCCGGCTCTAAAATGCTTCTGGTTTAACACAAAAGGTTCTTATTTTCACTTTCTAAATTCTGTGTGTGCATGTGTGTGTGCACGCACGTGTACATGCGTGTGTATGTGCAGTACCAGGGACTGACGCTTCACACTGAGCTACATCCCAACCTCCCACCTACCCACCTTTTGCGACAGCCTTGCTAAGTCACTATATTGCCCTGGTGAAATTCTACTTGGGATCTTCCTGCCTCGGCTTCGTAGAATGCTGGGATCACAATCATGTTCCACCACAGCTGGCTTTAAACCGTGTGTCATAGACCAACAATTTTAAATGTTCACATACTCCCACAAAGAGAAACATGCCAACCTCTCACCGTGGTTTCCGCTGAGGCTAGAATGATGGGGGACTCTCGTCTCCCTATTTTGCATTCCTTTTTCCTTCCCAGTGAGTTTGGTGTACTTGGAGTTTGTTGAGATTGTAAAGCACACAACCCAAGAGCTGGGGAGTGAGTCCCTGGGGCCACCTGCACCCCCACCCTGAGTCAAGGAGGCCTCTGCTGGGCGGCTGACCACTGCTTCACCCCTTGTTAGTCACCATTCCCCACTTTTGGTCCCAGTGAAATCATCCTAAGGTCAGTAGCTCGTTGGCACCAACCCCAAGCAGGCGCCCGCAGCCGCCGCGAGGATGCGCTGAGCTCACCTGGAGCTGCCGCAGCGCCAGGCAGGCGGCCTGCTGGAGTCTGGCGTCGCTGGCGGTCAGGGCGTCGGTGTAGAAGAGCAGGGCCTGGGAGGGAAGGGCCGAGTGAGGGCGGCGGAAAGGAAGCTCTTCTCAGCCTGAACAGACTGGGGAAGGGGGTGGGGGTGTGCGAAGACACATGCCCCGGGGTCTGACGCAGCCCCAGAGCAGACCGGCAGGCGGAACTAAAACGGAGAAAGCTTTCTGTCTGATAGTGGCTAAGGAAGTCGCTGTCCTGTGAAATGTTCCATGGGAGGTCACACACGCAGCGCAGAGCAGGAGGAGACTTGAACACGGGGAGCCTTCCCTGTGGGCTCAGCGGGGAGGCCGCTGGCCCTGTCTCCCTTTCCTGGGCCCAGCTCCGACCCGCCTTCAGCACACAGCCACCGCCACGTCACCCGCTTCTTTGGACCCAAGGACACAGCTGAGAGTAAAGCTGGGGGAGGGGGGATCAGCTAAGAGCAGGGGGAGGTGCACCCGCCCGTTAACCAGCTGCTGACTTTCAGGAACCGAAGACAGAGAAAGGTGTTACACCCTAGTGGACAATCAGCAGAGTCAAGGTTGCAGAGGGCAGTGCAGGCTCTTCCACAAATGGACTGCACGGGGAAGACAGCTGCAATCTTCAGATTTAACAACATGTAAAAGCATCGGCCAATCCTGTGCACCTGATATCCTGTTTAGCAAACCAAAAAAATCGCTGTGCTCTCTGAGAGCTGGAAATGTGACGGTAGATACGTGATACTAGGGAGTTAATGGTTAAGTTTTTAGATGTGATAATGACAGTGTAACTAGGGATTTTTAAAGTGAAATCTCATCTTTTGACTCACACACACAACTGACTATTTACAAGTCGAACAGCGTATCTTAAGAGTGCTTCAAAATATTATGGGCTGGGGATGGGTGGATGGGTGGATGGAGGCTGGAGTTGGATGCTGGCGCATGTGATTCCTCAGGCCATTCTGTCTCATTTTGTGTGTGTTCAAAAGTTTCCAAGTGGTCAGACATTGCCACAAGGTAAATGTGCACCGCGGTGTCAGCAGTGTTGCTGGTGATTTCCTCCCCTGTCCACGCCTGAGACCAAGGCACATGTATGACCCCTCCGTCCCTCCCCTACCTCCTCAGGGCTGTTGCCTGAAAAGTAAAACAGTCCCAGATCGGGAGCCAGCATCAGCAGGGAGGGCCGAGCTCAGTTTCCAAATGAATTGGACAGAGTGAGCCACTAACAGCTGGCACCAGGAAGATGACCATCACAAAGCTGAAAAAGACGCCATGCCAGCGACACCTCAGCAATGAACCTGATGTGTCGCCTTAGAAACAGGAGAGCACAGCCCAGTGCTGTGGGTGTGCAGTCGTGGTCGTGTGTGCTTCTCAGGTGGCCTGGCAGCCCCAGGCATAGGGCCTGTATGACCCACTTGAAGCCTCCCTGACCCCAAGTCTGCCTCAGTGGTTGCAACCACAGTCTCTCACTGCGTCTGTCATGAAGCGTGCCACCTCCCCTCACTGCCCCCGTGGCAGGGGCTGCCCCCTGCCCTGCACGCCCTACCTTTTCCCGGAAGCTCCGATTTTTTGCTGCGCTGGCCAGGCGTGAGCTGGCTGCCTTGCACACCCTTGGGGCCCCGTCCAGCTGCAGAAGTGCCCAGGCATGCAGGGTCTGCGGCAGGGGCTGGAGCTGGCTCAGTCGCTTCCCCTGCAGCTTCCTGACGGCCTTGACCTGCCCGGCACAGTGCAGCTCCTCAATGAGTGTGACTGGAAGAGAGGGAGGAAGTGACCCGGTGCCCAGCATCGCCGCACAGTCTACAGAGAAGCAGCTCCACAGACAGGCAGGGCGGTCATCAGGGCTGTCATAACGAGTTGCAGAAGGGGACCCCCAGAATCAGGGAGGCTTCCTAGCGAGGGATCAGATACACTCTGAAAATGTATAAAGCCACAGCCCAGACTTCTAACTAGCCAAGCATCCGCCTCCTACCACCCCATGAGATAGGGCCTTTCCAGGTTACCCAGGCTGGCCTTGAGTTTACAAGCCACAGTCCTCCTGCCTCTGCCTCCTGAGTACCCGGATTACAGGTGGGCTTTTTTTTGTACTAATGCTAGCATTTGAAACCCAGCCCCCCCTTGGAGTTCATTCCTCTCTGTCAGCTGAATGTGGAATTTGATTAAATCTGGGTCCTTAAAACAACAGCTGGAGGGGAAGAGGCAGAGACTCTGAATGTAACCTAGACTGCCCGGCTTGCAGGAGTGGGGCCCAAGGATGCTCCTGAGCCAGACTCTGTGCTGTGAGGCCACAGCCGCCAGCTGGGCCCCACCTTCCTTGGTGAGCTGCGCAAAATGCCTCTCCAGGTCCAAGACGCTCTGTCTCTGCAGATAGTGGTGAAACTGGAACCAGGTGACGGTCTGTTCTTCAGGGAGCCTGGCTGCAGGGAGCAGCCCACTGCAGGTGACCACCTGCTCCAGGAGCCTGCGGCACACTGGCCAGAGGGAGGCATCATGAGGGGAAACTGAGGCTCAGTACAGCCCTTCTTGTGGGGCGGGGTGGGAGGAGGGGGAATAGCTACCTATTTCCAGCTGTCCCGGGTATTTCCCTCGGACTCTGTGCAGGAAGGTTTTCTTGAGCTGACTCAGAAGCCGTGTGGCAGGGCAGGACAGGACGCCGCCAGGGTCCGTGCACCCCCGCCACAGCTTCAGGCAGCCCTTCCTTCGAGAGGCCTGCGGAAAGACTGGAAGCCCGGGCTCAGAAAGCAGAGGGGCGGGGTGGGGTGCCAGAGGGTCCCCTCCTGGGACCTGAGAGGCTGGGGAGGTCAGGTGTGACCTGACGTGGGGGTCCCTTCCCAATGTGACCACGAGGCACAGAGGGAGGAGCTTAGGCTCCAAGCATCTCACCCAGGGCCCAGCCTGCAGGCCACCCCAGGGTGCCCCTGGACAGCTGTCACCAGCCCCAAACGGGCAAGGAAGGAGGCCTTTGAGAGGGATGCCATGGGGGTGGGAGGCAGAACTGGGGTCACGGGTGCTGTGTGTTTAAGGGCTAGCTGTGTACCCTGAACAAGGTCCAGCACACACAGAACCCTAGGCAGTGTCCACCCGGGATGCAGAGGTCACTGACGCTGAGAGAGAGACGAAGGCCCAGGGTCACGCAGCTGACAAGAGGCCACTGCTGATCCCGAGGCCGTCACCTACCCTGCAGTCTCTGATCCACCCCAACCCAGCCAAGCTGAACGTGGGGGAGGAGGGTTCGCCCTGGTCCCCGGTACCCACCAAGCACAAGCGGTGGCCGGCGGTTACTTACTCTCTTCGATGGACGTCGCCCTGCTGGCCTTCTCGAAATCAAGGTCAGAAAGCAGCTCCAGAACCTGCTTTTGCTGCACGGCCTCTTCCACAAGGCTGTCCTCGACCATCCTGGACAAATTAGGCGAGGCCAGTTTCTGGAAGCAGCCGCGATGTTCCAGGTTAGCCTGGAGGTGGCCTCTGAAACCAGCCATCAGGATGTGACCCCAGCACCCAGCCTGATCCTTCTGTCCCAGCGGTAGCGCTCTCACTGCCATCCCGAGACCCCTTCCACCAAGCTGAGCTAAGAAGGAACCGTGAGCCACTGGGCAGGCACCATGTTGCCAGCGGAGGGAGCAGCTTCCCTGCGAGCACAGCCAGCCCACGTTGCAAAGCACAGCAGACCCAGGGAGGGACCCGTTATGCTGGCATTTGACCCTCTGGGTACAGCTGGGCTCGGAGCCCACGCCTGAGGCTTTCAGTACACAAGCTGACCCATTTTCCTGCTGGCTGAGTCAGTTTGGATTGGGCGCTGGCATCTATAAATGACAGTCACAGCCACAACCCTCGGCTCAGGGCTTGCAGAAGAGCCACGCGGTGACTCAGACTGTGAGTCCCTCCCTCCTCCATGCTTCCGCTGCCCAGCAGGCCCACCCAAGAGGACACCACCCCAGCCTGGCCCTCGACACCTGCAGCAGGGCCTTGCAGACTTGGAGGTGGACCGTGAGTAGCACATCCAGCTCTGGGGCGCCAGCTGTGAGCTCTGAGGGGGGCTCTTTCAGTGACGGCGGTGGCGGTGTCATCCTGTCTGTTCTGAATTGGATGGAGAAGAGACCATTGCAGTAGCTGCTCAGCTCCCTTCGAGGGCAGAAGAAACCTTTCTTCCCTGGAGAGCTCAGGATCAGGGAGGCCAACCCAGGTGCCCCAGAGGTGGGATGAAACGGTGAAACCCAAGAACAAAAGAAAAGAGCGAGAGGGCAGTGAAACAGGTGGGTGCTGGTAAAGGGGAGCCTGAGAACTGGGCTGGGTGGGACCTGACCTGGACTCGGAAGCCTGAAGTTCAAACTAATCCCAGATCTGTGACTCAGTTTATTCATCTGTGTAGTGGGACAGGCAGCCCAGGCTCAGGGCATGAAGGGTCAGTGATTGCTGAGCAGGGGCCAATCCCAAGGCCCAGCCAGTGTTCAGGAAGGGTGCATCAGGGCAGCCCGGAGATGGGGGCAGGAGAGGCCCTCAGGGCCAGTGTGGCAGGGTGGCTGGTATCGAAGCCCAGTTGGACCTGGTCCCTGAGGAATCGGCGCCCCAGGGCTTAGGTCACTGTGGTAAGCAGGTAGGGTCAGGTCCAGCGGGCTCTGCTGTGAACTCTGGCATTTTCCGAGATTATTGTAAAGCTCCATCCTACTCCTGGGAGCCGGAGCCAGGAGCCCAGGGCAGGGCAGGCCATGGGCATTCCCTTGGTAGCTACAGAAGACCCATGGCTGCCTCGGGACAGAGGGAGGGGCCAAGAGCATGGGGGACGGGCTGGGAGGTGGCACCAAGGAAGCCTGGGGAGGGGACGGCACGCGCTCACCGGGGGCCCTGGGAGCCCCCAAACAGGGACAGCTGGTCGGCGGCGAGGTCAGCGTTGAGGAAGGCGAAGCTCTCCAGGATGCACTCCATCAGGCTCTCGGAGGAGGCATGCTCCTGTCGGGCTCCGGCTCCACGAGGCTGTGGACAAGTGGCCACCCTCAGGGCCCCACCAGGACACAGGCCAGGGGCTCCCTGCAGACCTGAAGGTGTCCCCAACCACAGCCCCGCCTGGCCCACAGCTCAGAGCCAGCTGAGGTCCCTGCCCAGGCCACGTGTGACCTACTGGGGCCCCGCCCAAGGGGACTATGGCAAGGCTGGGTGCCGCGTCTCAAGGGAGACAGATCTAAAAGCCTCACGAGGTCCCGAGACTCGTGGCCAATGTTGAATTTCAGATTATTTTGAATTACAGCGAAGACCAAGCCACATCCACCCATCCAGGGCCAGAAAGCGGCAGCTGCACCCATGGGGTTCAGGGTTCCTCCCTCCCAGGGATGCATGGAAGAAGAGGTGCCACCTCCTGCCACTGGCCAAGGCGCCAGGACCTCCAGTGGCAGTGCCCTTCCTGGTCACTTCCGTCTCTGAGCCACCTTCCCAGCAAACTGGGCCTCATCCCCTACAAGCTACAGCCGAGACACAGCCCAGGCAGAGGCTGCAGCGAGGAGCAGGGTCCTAAAAGAAAAAACCCTTCAGCCACAAGAGACCACTAAGGCTTCACTTAGAGGTTTCACTCCCCAGTGGGACAAAAGTGTGCATGTCTGTGTGTGGGTGCACGGGCCCATAAACAGTTGATCACTGTCACCCTACGAAGTCCGAGACAGAAACAGAAACCCTGGGCTGTGATTCTGGGGAAAATACCAGGTTAGCTTTCTGAGACATCTGCTTGGGATTTTCTCCAACTAATAACTATGAAATGTCATGTGGCCACGGTTGTCCCGTGCATGACCACTGCTTCTCCTACCCAAGGGGACAGGCATGCCTAAACCCCCAGGGATTCGAGCCGACCAGAACACGTTAGGACACCTTCCAAAGCAGGTACAATAGCAAATGCTGTAATCACAGCTCCTTGGGAGGCTGAGACAGGAGCAGTGCAAGTTTGAGTTCAGTCTGGACAAGCCTTAGTGAGACCCTAACTCAACATGTTAAAAGAAAAAAAATTTTTTAAATAGAGTGACTCCCAGCCCAGTACTGGAAAAAAAAAAATCACAACTGAATAGATATTTTTTCTGTATTAACTCTGAACCTCCAACTAGCAGCCCTGCCTGAAGGAGGCTCCTTGAACAAATAAATTTGCACTCAAGAGCTCCAGCCAGCACTCAGCTCTGCGCTTGGGAATCACTCACACAGTGAAGACGCTGACAAAATGCACAAGAAACTTGAAAAATGTGACACTAACTGGACACTCGCTTACAGGAAAGGTAAACTCCAGGGCAGAGCCCATCTCGTGTGATGGGAACATCGATGACCACGGTTTTGGGCCACTCTGCAGCTCCTGAGCATGACCTTGACCGTGGATTTGGGGGTGCAAGTTAATCTTAGCACGGAGGTAACCCCGAGAAAGAACCGTAAAGAACACAGACGCGTGCGCACGCTTACACCCATCTCAAAGTGTGTGAGTCTGTGGTGCAGAGCCAGGACCTACACTTACTCTTACTGCTCGGCTTGGTTTGCCAGAAACAGAAGAATTCCTCAAAGATGGTTTAAATTATTGCATTACAAAATTATTTTAAGATTATGGAAAGTGAGACTAATTTCTCAAAACATGTGACAGAAGTTGTATGTGTCTGATTCAAACCATTCCACATAAAAAGACTGCAACAGCACAAAAAAGTGACATTGTTTCTAGGGGTTTTCCTTAAGTTTTTCAGGTCATTTTCATAGTGGTGAGCAGTGTGACTGGATGTCAAATGAAAAATTCAACTTTCTTTGTCTTGTGCTGATTCATAATGTTGAGGGCAGCAGGGGAAATAACACCATGAAAGCGGGGTCTGGGGGAGCGGGGTTCGTAGCTGAGTGACAGCTTGTGCCTTACACGGCTTCATAAATTAGCTGATGGATAGGAAGATGCTGGTGATACACACTTTATTTTATGAACATATCAACTCTGTGAACAGAAAGCAGCACCATCTGGCTGGGTCAGCACCTCTGAGAGTCCCCGCCACCTACGCATGAGCCACCGTCGAGGAGCAGGTTCTGTGTGGGGCGCAGAATGAGGTAGGCAGGTGGCCACGGACCCTCCGCGGAGCCAGCTGGGGCTCCACGTTTGGGTTCCCAATACCACATTCACAAACTTGGGTCAGAAGATTCGAGCCGGGGCCTGGCCCTGGCTGGACACAGAGCAGGTTACCCACGGTGAGCCCTGGCTGCCCCTTAGCATCCTCCTCTTGGCACAGACAGGGCTGCTGCTATTCCCACTTGACAAATGAGGAAACTGAGGTCCAGAGAGAAACTGCCCATCCGGCTCACGCAGGGCTGAGGCCAGGATGCTGGCATGGGCCGACCGGGCCCAGAGCCCCCTCCTGATGCTCACACGGACAGCTGGGCAGGGCCTCTGCGCAGTGGGGACACGTACCTTCATGCGGTCCCGGAAGCCGAGGACCTGGTACTCCAGTTCCCGGAGCTGGGGATGTGTGGGGCCCGCAGACCTCAGTAACTCGAGGACCTCCTGCAGAGGCTGCTCGGGGGCTGCTGCGGAGGCATCTGCTCCGTCCCTGGTTTCTCCGTCCCCCTGACCCCTCGGCCTGCTCAGAACTGTGCAGCTGTGGAAGGGGGAGCCCCAGGGCGGGCTGGGGCTCTCCGTGCCCAAGTTCCTCCAGCCGGGGCGCTCCACAAAGGAACCATCAGCCAGCGGGGCCATGGCGGGCAGCAGGCCTAGGGGTGGACGGTCCTCCTGCACTTCCTTTCCAGTAGAAGCAGCGGGGCCGATGGCCAAGGGCAGGAAGCCCACGTCCAAGGTGGACACTGATGTGCTGGTCTCAGTGTCTCGGGGGTCCTCGGAGCTGAAGGAGTCCATCTCCAGCAGCTCCTGACTCCGGCTCCGCAGCCTGGGGCCCTGAAGGTCATTGTCGGACAGGTAGCTGAGGATGGAGGTGGCCCTTGGTCCACCTAGCAGCAAGGGCTGCTGTGCTGGCTGCTGCAGGATGGACTAGAGAGGAGACAAAGGGGCAGCCTCACTGGCCATCCCAAGGACCAGAGTCAGACCCCCCAGGGACTTCCCCCATCTACCTACATGCCAGGATGACAGGTCTCCTGGAGACAAGCAGACTGGCATCTCAGAGGTGCCAATGGGACTCTGCCACCTCTGGGCCCTTACTCCCAAGCTCTCCTACCACACCCCTCAGTAGCCTCCTTTCTGACCCTCTCTGGGCTGCCTCCCATATTCCTGCCCCAAGACCTTTGCACTGACTTACTATCCCTAGAACACCACTTCACATATGTCTTCTCAGTCTGGGTCCTCACCTGTGTCCTTACACAGATGTCACATGTTCTGGGACCCTGCTCCCGGACACCCTATTTTAAATGGCAACTCCCACCTGATCCAGAAACCCCCTCCGCTTTTGCTGGTTTCCCATGGTCCCCTTGCCCCTCATGCTGGCTGTGCAGGTCCCTGACTGTGACATCATCTGCTTCCCCTGGAGAATTTCAGCTTCTGGAGGACACAGTGCCCACCTGCCCAGGAGCAGGGCCTGGCACGAGTTTTGACCGGCTCCCATCTCCCCTCACCCTCACTGCACCCAGCCCTGATTCTAATTCTGGGCTGCACGGCAAGAATATCTGAAACAAGATGTGGAGGCCAAGCGACGGCCGGGCTGGCTGAAGCCTCCAGAGAGCCCATCGCCAGCGTCCAGAAGAACCAGGAGCCCAAGACCAATGCCACAGGCCCCACCCAGGGTGAGGGGCGGCAGCTGGGAACCCAAGTACGGCAGCCACCCAGAATCCCCAACCAGCCCCCACTCCCCTTCCCCCGGTGACCTCGAGGTCCCTGCCCGGGGCAGAGCTCACTCACCAGGTAATATCTCTCCCGGAAGCTGGGGGTGCTCGGGGGTGTCCAGTTGTACAAGGAGCCCTTCCTGCTGCCCACAGAAAGCTTGCCCGTGGGGCTGGGTGACACCAGGGGGCTCTCGGAATCAAAGGGGCTGGAGGGGAGAAGGGAGGCTGGGTGTCATGAGCTGGTGTGAGGCCACCTGGGAGCTCTGGGGCCCGGAGAGGCCCAGGAGGCGCTGTGGCTGCGAAGGGGTTGTCTTTGCTCTGCACAATAAGCCCCATGTGCAAGAAACTCTGCAAAAAGCCCTTTACCCAAGGCCTCTTGCTGGGGCCAGTGTCGCCCTGAGGCGGACAGGGCGATTCACAGCAGGTTTCTCTCTCAGCTTTAAGATCAGGTGAGGGGTGCAGAGGCCTGGCTGGAGGAGCCGCTCAGCACCTCCTGACCCAGCCCGGGATTCAGTACCCAATTTGGCCAAAGGCAAGAACAGAGTTCAAACTCAAAAGGGCTGGTGGGGCAGCGGGGGGCCACCGGGGCTTGGGCCTGGCATGGTGGGAACAGCTGAGAAGCGGGAGGATCTCGGGTGGGCAGGGCGCCTCTCTGCGGTCAGGCCAGCAGAGGGCGCAGCAGGGCACGGGGAGTAGGGGTCAGCCCCACTCACTTCCACAGCACCTCCAGCTGCAGCTTGATGGTGCCCAGCTCCGTGATGTCCACCACAATGACCTGCGGCCGCGTCGTGAAGAAGTCTGCAATGTCGCAAGTGACGGTGCCCACGGCCAGCGAGCTCAGGCCCCGAAGCTCTGTCACCTGGGGTGGGGCCTGGAGGCTAGTGTCTGAGCCGAGCACCCGGAAAGCCCTGCCCACACCAGCCTGGACCCCACCTTGATCTCCAAATTCTCGTGCAGGGTGGGGATGAAGGCCTTCTCCTCTGCGTCCCAGACCTGGCTGTCGTCAGACTCGATGCGGCCCTTCAGTCTCCAGCGCTGGCGGCCCAGGCGCATGAGCACCTGCAGGCGAGGCCCGGGAAGGGGTGTGGGGGCCGCCCCAGGTGGGTCCCCCTCGCTGCCCACCTAGAGCCTCCCTCCGGACAGGACCTCAGCTGAGACCCAAGTGCTGACCCGGACAGTGGCCGTACCTCATAGTGGTCCCCCGGACAGAGGCGTGCATAGCCCACCAAGCCTGGAACACAGAAAGGTGCTCAAACCGCCCCTGTCCCTCACGCAGGGGGACCCCACGAGTGTCAGGGAGGCTAAGCCAGCGCCATGGGTGGGGGTGCTGGGCCTTCACTGCTGAGGCTCAGTTGTAAGCAGACACTAAGGAGGGGCTGCACCCCGGGACTCTGGCCCACATCCCCCCGCCTCCAGCAGAACTCTCAGGGTCCCCAAGAGGAACTGATCCCCCAAACTGGCTGTGTACCTTTCATCCTGATGTAGAACTCGCCCAGGTGGACCTCCAGCGCCCCCTCGATGAGCCACATGTCCTGCAAAGCCCCACAGGTGGCTCAGCCATCGCCCACCCACCTGCTGCAGTGGGGGTGTGGGGCACGGGGAGGCGCCCACCTCGGAGCACTCGTGCAGGCTGCGGCCCAGTTCCTGCAGGCTCTCACGGGACGCGCGGCTCGGTGGGCTCCGGGAGAAGGCACGCTGCATGTTGGAGGCCCCGTCGCGCAGGCGACACTGGATGCAGTAGCCCTCGTACAGCTCATCCACCTGCAGTGGGCGACAGGACAGGCCCCCGCTGCCTGCAGACAGCTCCACACTGAACCCCAGCAGCACCCGGGGCCCCTGCCGTCTGCACAGTGTGCACCCCCAGGCCGGGACCATGCCTGGCTCAGCTTGTCCACTCTGTCCCACTGCAAAGGGTTGCACAATAAAAACCAGCAAGGTGGACCAGTGAACAGATTTCTTCCTCTCTGCTTGGTTTTGAGGCGGGTTGTGACAGCTCCCACCCTGGGCTCTGGGGAGTAACCTGGGCCGTGAAAGACTGAAGACTCCAAAGGTCTTCCGGCATAACTGGGCCCTTCCCTGCTCTCTGGGCTCTGCTTTCTCATCTGTGCAGTGGGTACTTGGGCTCTTCCCGGCCTCTAAGGTTAAGCATGAGTCTTTCTGCACCCCAGTCCTGGGGGGCCCATCCCCTTACACCCACCGCTAGCCTGGGCCCCCGCAGCCCACCTGCACTCACCCTTGGCCCTCTCCAGCCCTGCCCAGCAGCCTCCCCAGCTTCTGCCAGCCCCTCGAGGCCGCCCCCCACCCTGTGAGACCCCGGGGCCACACACCTTGCTGATGTGGAACTCCATCTTCCGGATGTGCCTTTCCACCCAGCGGGTTTGCTTCTCCCAGGAAGAGCAAAGATGCTTTAAAAGTGGCCGGGAGCTCCCGCCAGCCCCCACCACCCTCCATCAGGTCCTGGCCTCGGGGACAGGGTTCAGTGCCAGGGTGGCCCCTCACCAGCCTTGAGGGAGGCTCAGAGAGCCTCAGTTTCCCCTTTTATACAATGGGAGAAAACCCAAGTACTCCCCTCCAGAGCAGCGGGAGCACGGGACGCCTGCACGGGCCCTGCCTCTGGCCGCCTTGCCGACTGGGTGTGGACAGAAGCTTAACTCACCTTATCCAGGTCATAATAGAAGGCCTGTGGGAAGTAAAAACGGGGAGGCGAAGGTGTCAGAGCCCCAGTGCTCCTCCAGGCCTGAGAGGCTACATGCGGGGACCCTGTGCTCAGGGGACAAAATCTGCCGCCTGCCACAGGCCCAGGGGAAAGAGCGATTAAACACACACACCCTTTGGGAGGCAGCTCTAGACCTGGTGCTGCTTCGCCCTGCTGTGTGTCTTGGGCAAGTTACCCAACCTCTCTGAAGGACATGGTGTATGTAAAACGGGCATCGAGAGCTTCTGCTCCCCGGGGGCTGCCAGGGGTAAGGGTTCAGCCAGAAGGCAACTCAGTGGGGACGCGACTCCAGCCAGGCGGGAAGAACTTGGGAAGACAGATGGCACTGCCCTTAGCAGTGTCTGCTGGGATGTGGCTGAGCAAAGCAGACAAGGTCAGGGGCAGCGCAAGCTTTCCATCAAGGACCAGGCTGTAACCAGCTCAGGCTTGGCCACTATGGCCAAGGCCACCTGCAGTATGCAAATGAGAGGGCGTGGCCAGAGGCTCACAGCGCCCCCTGCTGATGGAGGAGTCTACAGGAGCCGCTCCTGGAGGTTAGAGACCCAAGGAAGTTAGAGATCAAGGTTAGAGACCCAAGGAGAAGAAAGGTAAGATGTGGAGTAAAAAACGTGATTTCTTTTTTAGAAGTCAGTTACTGAACTCAAATCTCTCTGTGCATGCATGTGTGTGTGATGTGACTGTGCAACCAGGGAGAGAAAGAGAAATAGCGGACTGAGGAAGGGAGGCCGCACAGGTAGACAGCGATGCGTGTCAGTCGGAAGGAAAGAGCTAAGCCTGCTCCAGAAGGCTGCTTTCCTATGGATGCATTTAGTTAAAAAATAAATAGAACTGGATGTGGTAACGCACGCTAGTAATTCCAGCATTCGGGAGGCTGAGGCAGGAGGATTGCTGGGAGTTTGAGGCCAGCCTGGGCTACATAGTGAGTTAAGGCCAAGCTGAACTACACAGGGAGACCCTATCTCAAAAAAAAAAAAAAAAGTCCCAAGATTTAGAAAAGAATCATCTGCACGAGCTTCTCAGAGACCACTATGGTGGTGAAATTCAAACCAGCAGCTGCTGGGGCAGCAGGGCACCGAAGCAGCCTTTCCAAGGGTGGCCCCGGGACAGTCACCCTTCCCTGGCCTCCATGTGCCACATGCACATTTATGCGCCTATTTCTGGGTCCCAGAGAACAGGGATGGCTCCCTGTGTGGGAGCCGTGCGACGGTGGGGGGCCGGGCACTAGGACCGGCGGGGTCTCTTGGCAGCTCTTCCTCCACCCTCTGCATTGGCCCCTGCCCAGCCACCCACCCAGGGCGAGGCGCATGCAGCTGGCTGGGCCACGCCTGCCCCATGTGGCTGGCACAGGCATGAGCTCCAGCCTGGTGCCACCTGCTTGCTGACGGGGGGGCCTCTGTAACCCTCCCCAGCTTCCAGCCCCTTAGCACACTGGGGCCTGCAGTGCCCCTTGGCTGGGGAGGAGGGGACCCCACAGCAGCGGGCAGGTGTGCTTTGTTCCCAACTGTGTCCGTAAGAGACAGGTGGGGTTTGCATGAGGCAGCAGTGGGGAGCAGGAGAGGAGGCTGGAGGGACGGCACAGCTTGCAAGAGGGATCCTCCAGCTGGAGGGGTGCAGGTCCCCACTCAGGGGACCTGGCAGTGTCCCCAGGTAAGATACGGGACACCCAGTAAGAATCCGTACTTTCCATAGACAGTGAGTAATGTTTTAGTATCAGTACGGTAGGTCCCAGAGGTCACATGGGATACACTAAAAAGTCATCTGTTGCTTGTCTCAAAAGCAAGTTATCTGAGCACTGCTTTTTGTTGTGTTTGTTGTATTTTGTTTTCTTGTTAAGCCTGGCTCTGGTAATGAAGCCCAGAGCGGGTGAGCCCTGCACTAGACTGTGGGGTGGAGGTGAGGGCAGCTCTAATGATGGAAAAAAATTGGAGCAGACAGAATGTCGGACAAAACATGCAGGCTCCAACAAGGACAGTGTCCAGGGCCACCAGGACACACTAGAGAAACAGCTCCCTTTCCTGACCTCAGGGCACCTGACTGCAAAGGTCTATAAAATAGGACTATCTAAGGCCAGGCATGGTGGCCTACACCTGTAACCCCAGCACTCGGGAGCCTGAGGCAGGAGGATTGCTGCAAGTTTGAAGCCAGTATGGGCTACATAGTGAGTTCAAGGCCAGCCTGAACTACATAGAGTGACCATGTCTCAAAAAAATAAGTGGGAGGCATCTAAAACCTGGAACACACCTGTCTCCATTCCCCCACCTGCCTTGGGTTCTTCTAGAAAGAGAAGGAGGCGGGCTGACCCGCTGCCCTGCACTCTGGCACTGGCCTGCACCGTTCTGCCAGTCAGGGCCCTCCTGAGCCTGAGTCTGGGAGCGGGGTGGGGTGGGGGGCTCACCAGCCTGGAATTCCTCCGGGTGTCCGCGTGCCGTCCTGACAGGTAATCCAGCTCGGCCTGCTGCAGACACAGGTACTCCCTGCAGCGGACACCGGGGAGACTTTTCAGTGGAAAAGAGCAAGGCAAGAAAAAAGTGGCCGCTGACTGAGCGCCCAGGCCTGGCCGAGGGCGCTGTCTCTCCAGGCCAGGTTAGGACACAGGTTTTAAGGACAGGCAAACTGACTCCCAGGGGCCGCAAGTAGCCCAATCAGGGCCACGAAGCAGCAGCGAGGCTTAACACAGGCCAGAAGCCTGCAGTGTCCTCTGGGGCCCTGTCATCACCCCGCACTGTGCCTGTTGCCAGGCTGGGTCCATCCGTGGGGAGGTCAGTGTGCCACACTTGACCCTCCCACCTGGACACAGGGGCTGAGGACCCTACAGAGGCCTAGAAATCACACTGTGGAGCATGGAGGAAGTTGTGGGTAGGGAACCCAGGGTGGGGTTCATCTGCTACATTGCAGATTTGCTGGGTCACCCCAGGAAGGTCATGCACCCTCCACAAATGTGGAAGGGGCAGCTTCTGCCGGCCACTCCTTACTCAGGGATCAGGCTCCCTGGGACCGAAGGGGTGACCACAGCCCAGCTAGACCTCCAGGTCCTTAGGGGAGCCCAGATGCTGCCCAGGGAAGTGAGCCCCTGATAGACATGGCAGCATATGCTTATAATCCCAGCATTTGGGAGGCTGAGGCAGGAGGGTTACTGCAAGTTCTAGACCAGCCTGAGCTACACAGTGAGCTCAAGGCCCGTCTGAACTGTCGGTGTATAGTGTGACCCCATTTCAAAGAAAAGGAAAAAAATCCCTTCCTCTCCATTTTAACTTTCTTGTTTATGCTGTATAGAACGAAAGCCGGGCGTGGCAGCACCCCAGCTACCCAGAGGGCCAAGGCAGGGCGATTGTAAATTCAAGCCCAGCCTGGGCAGTTCAGCAAAATCCTGCCTCAAAATAAAATAAAAAGGGCCAAGAACATAGATCAATGGTAGAGCACTCGCCTTGCGTATGTGGGGCCCTGGATTCAAACCCCAGAACCAAAAAAACAAAAAAAGTATTGCTTGAAAACTGTTGGTGCTAAACTGCTCAAATGTTTACCCAGCTCTGCCTCTCTCTGGAGATCTTACTAAAGCCGAAGTCAGATCACATCCCGGCTCCACACAGAACCCTCCGTGGCTCCGTTTCCTCCAGGCCGAGCACCAGAGGCCTCACCGCGGGGTCCCCAACCCTCGCTCTGCAGTGTCCCTCTGTCACCACCTGTGCCTCAGCTCCTGCCCCCGGGCCTTTGCTCTGCCTCCTGTGGCCTGGAATGTTCGCCCATTACCTGCATGGCCCACTTCCTGTTCTCTGCGGGCGGCCGTTTACCCACGTGTGACGTCACTTAAGATCATCCCGCACCTCCCTGCCTGGATCCCTTTTCCTCTGTGCCACTTGTACCATCTGACACGCCTGCATTTTACCTCCCCGTGTGGTTTATGATCGTCTGTCCCCGCTGCAGTCAACCCCGCAGGGACAGGAGTTTTGCCTGTTTTGTTCCCTCCTAGACCCTGCGCCTCAGTAAATCAATGTTTGTGACCAACTCCCTGATCTGGCCGCTGCCCGGATAACCGTCTGTCTCCCTTGCTGGCTGGCAGAGCCTGGACTCCTCAGGCTTCTGCAGGGCCTAAGCAGGCTGCAGCCCTGTGCGCCCTTCACACACAGACCCGCTGGGCTCCCCAAAGAGGCAGGGGGCGCCAAGGGGGACCCCAGGCGGCACTTACTTGAGGCCCTGCTTCAGGGCTTCGAAGATCTTCTTCACCTGCTGCGGCTTGGGCTCCAGGCCGGCCGGCACCTTGCGAAGTGTGCCGTAGGACTTGGAGTATTTCGCCGGTGACCGCGACCTCACAGAATTCTTGTTGGCCAGCTTCCTGCGAGAGGGGCCGAGGAGGGAGATGGGGTGTGGCTCGGGACCTCGCTGCCCTAGGACAGGCACTGTGGGACTCAGGAGACCTGGCTGGGCCCCACCCCTTCACCTCGAGCTTTTCTGAGAAACTTGAGACTCTGAGCCTCAGTTTCCCCATCTGTAAAGTGAGAGGTCTGCATTTGAGGATTAAGAGGTTAAATCACAAAAACTTGGGACCTGAAATGAGCTCACAGTGAGGATGCAGTCAGGCAGCTGTGGGATGGGCGGGTCGGCTGGCCAGGTTGCAGCCTGTGTCCGCACAAGGGTGGCCACGACCCTGCCCCAGCTGTGTCCTCCATTAACAGCGTCGGAATTTCCCTCGGGGCAGGCCCCCAGCTCTGCCTCTTCTGCTCTCGGGGGAGAAGGTGCTGTCCTGTGACCACACTGGCACACACGCATCCCGGGCAAACCCACTTCACAGGATGGTTTAGTCAATAAATTCCACGCCTCTGGCCCAGGGCAAGGCCAAGGGCAGAAGTCTGGCCAGAAATTTGGTTCGGGAGTCACAGGAGGAGAAGGGATTCCTTCTGCTGGTGTTGCTAACTGGGGGAACACACCCCGCTTGTTAGCCTGTAGGGAAAACAGATCCAACACAGAAGGAGGTGGATGGAGTCAGAGCACACGCACGATGACCACGTGGCAAGGACTTCCTGGATCCAGCTATTCCTGAAGTTGGACCTGTGCTTGGACTTTGCAACTCTATCACCCCGGTGTTTCTTTTCCACTTAAAACTGGAGCTGGGAGCACAGACTACATGATCCTGAGAACCAGCAGCTCCCAGCAGTGACAGCCCATCAGATGTCCAGCATCTGGGGACTGACCACAGCAGCCCAGCATCAGGCTTCAGTGGCACCTCGGCCTCTGCCTAGAACCCTAGAGTTCCCTCAGGAGGATGGAGGACCAGGCTGGCTGGTGCCGACTTTGCTCCCTGCAGCTCTGAAGAAGCTCCTTGGTTGGTTTTGCATGCTAGGTGAGCACTGTATCACTGAGCCCTTTCCCCCAGCCCATCCCCCTATTTATGGTGGGGGGACTGGGGATGGAACTCATGACCTTGCACTTGCCAGGTAGGTGCTTGTGCTGCTGAGCTAAATCCCCAGCCCCCCCTTTTATCTTATTTTAAGACAGGATCTTGCTAAGCTGCCCAGGCTGAGCTCAAACTTGCAATCCTCGTATCTCAGGCTCTCAGATAACGGGGATTAGAGGTGAGCACCCCTGTAAATATTAGTACTCATGTGCGTGCTGCTCCGTTCCCCTCACTCCCAGCCTGGGAAGTAGTGGTGAAAGTTAACGAAGCCTAACTGACCAGGGCAACACGGCCTGCCACAGGATTGGTGAGCCGGGAGCCTCTGTCCGATGTCAAGAAGCTCGAAGGTGGCAGAGCTGGGCTCCAAAGCCAAGCCCACACACACCCTCAGCTGGGATCCAAAGGGTCCAACCAGGGTTCTCGAGGGGCATCAGAAACACCTGGAGGAGTTGTTCAGCTCTGATTGGAGGCTCCACCTCCAGAGTGTGCGTCCAGCCGGCCTGCAGGGGGGCCTGAGATTATGCATTTCTACCTTGTTCCGAGGGGCCTCAATCAAGCCTCCCCCTGAATACTCCTTGAGGGGCTCAGGGGCTGCCCTGGGCAGACACCTCCTGCCAGAGGCTGAGCCCAAGTCCTGCCCAAGCTGCTACACTTTGAGACTCAAGCCCTGGTTGTGCTCCCTCCCACCCCAAGGGCTCAGGCCATGGGGGCTGCAGAGGACTTCGGTCCTGAAGGCCAGGCAGGGGACAGCAGCCCCGAGAGAAGAACCACCCTACCTGTCCCCAGGAGGCTCACAGGCCAGCCAGGCTGTATTTCTGGCTGGGCTAGATGCTGCGCATTCCATGGAGATATGACGCCACTGTTTACTCTGCTCAGGGCTGTCCGCATGTCACCTGCTAGCCCCGATGGACCTCGAGCCAAGCCTGTGGTTCCCACCGCAGCGGCACACCTCGGTCTCAAACCCTGCTCCTGCGAGCCGGGCTGCCTGCTGCTTAGGAATGTGGGGTCTGAACACCTCACCTCACCCTTGCCTCAGTTTCCCCACCTGTAAAGGGAAGATACAAGAATGCCTGCCGCACAGAGCCGTCCCGAGGTGGCCACTCACTCAACACTTACACCAGATACACAGCCAGCACTAGGGGCTGGAGCAGAGCGCAGGTACCACCTGCCCTGTGAGCTGACACCAGCCCAGGAGACGCACGGAAGGGGCGTCAGGGGCAGGCCCTGGGCCCACCACTGAGATCTGCGTCCTGCTGTCCCCCAAACAGGCTGTGTGACCTTATGTAAGTTATCCAACCTCTCTGTGCTTCAGTTTCCTAATCTGTAAAATGGGAACCAGAGCAGGGTCCCTATGAGGGTTACCTGTCTAAGAAAACACAAAGGAATTCAAACAATGCCTGGCAAAGAAGTACCACACACGTGTTCAAGTCTTGTCAGATGGTACCAGGTGCCAGGTAGAAAGCTAAAGCGTACAGGAGGTCATGAAGTCAAGGAAAGGGTTGGGGACGGCCCCCCAGTCGGGGAGCGGGAAGGGGTGCTGTGCCTGCCCTGTTACTGCCCAGTCGCTATCACTGCTGTCCTGGCATCTGCAGAGTCCATGATGAGAGGCATTTTCCAGGGCCCGGGGTCCCCCGCCTCCCTGGCCACCTCACCCACCTCTTGGAACGCGCTCTCCACAAGGTCGCCATCTCCAGGCACAGGGGCCACTCAGGGGCCAGCTGCCGGGGTCCTGCAGTCCCAGGAGGGCGGGCGCTCTGAGCCCGGCGCCCTGCCCATCTGCCTATGAGCTCTGAGCCCGGCACCCCGTCTGGTGTCCCAGGGCAGGGCGGCCCAACCAGCGGTGCGCGCGCAGCCTCTGGATGGTGAAATCAGGCTGCGAGTCAGACCCGGATGTCACAACAGCCAGCCAGGAGCAGCCTCCAGGGTGGATGTGTCACCGGCTCAGCTCCAAGAGGACTCAGTAAATATTAAACAGCCCCCGGCACGCCAGACAGCTCCCGACGGTCCCGTGTGCCCCAGTGGGTCACGTGTGGCCACAGAGCCGCCCTCTGCCTGCACCACTGTCACCGGCTTTGGCCCTGGTCACCGTGGCTGGGCCAGGTCAGAAACCCAAGGCAGCACTCAGCCCTCAGAGGGCCGACCAGATAGGCTCGGGGTCGGGGTGGGGACAGATCCCCACACATGGGGCTGTTTCTTTCCAACACGGGGCAGCAAGGTCTCGCTCTTGGGGGCCATTGATCAGGACCCTGAGCTCAGAGCCTGAGTATCTAGCATTCACACCCATGTGTCCCAAGAGACCCAATGAGGGGAGGCGAGGGCCTCATGGGGCTCAGGGCCCAACGGGGATTTGCCCAACAGCCTGGGGAAGGGCAGAGCAGGACAGGGTTAAGGGTACCTGTGCCTGTCAGCGGAGGAAAAAAAGGGACAGTATCAGAGTCTGCCCCACCACTGCCACCCCCAGGGCCCATGGAAATGACCTATTGTAGCAACCATTGACAACTTAGTATAAAATTCTACCATGAGATTACTTCCAAGAGAATTCTCTATGGACTAAACAGCTGTCTACGTCAAAGCAGGAGAAGGGAAAATTGAGACCAACAGAGGCACAGCCTTTAGTATCTAAAAAGGCCCCTGCTCTCCTGCCGGAGGTCACTTTCCTGACCCCCCTGCCCTGAGCTGAGTGCCTGGACAGCCTGGCTGTTCTGGCCTGACTGGGTTAACTGGGAAATAAGGCCAGAAGCTGAGGCCTGAAACCCAAGCCTGGCTCTCCCGCCAGAGCCCAGGAGGCAGCACCAAGGGTCCAGCTCTGGGGACAGGAAGTACAAATAGATGCTGTTCCTCTCTGGCACCTCCCTCCTCGTCCCTGGGCAGGGGGACGGCAGAGGCTGCGGCCCCAAGGGACCTGGGCCAGCTGGACCCAGCCTTTAGCTCCCTGAGGGGAAGGAGTGTGGTCCAGGATGTCAACAGTCATCAGAGCCATCTACCCTCGATGCAGACATGGACAGGGCTGACCTGGGCTGATGGCCCCCACGCCCAGGGACCACATGACTTCTGGCCTCTTTTCACCCAGAATTCAGGGAGTATGGGGCGCTTTACATCAAGAGCTGCAGGGCCAAGTCCTTTGCCAGATGGCCTGCACAGCTGGCCCTCCAGCCCTGATGTGGACCCCAGGGTGGGACACCAGGAATTGCAGGAAGAGGCAACTCACAGCAGCAGGACCCCAGCCAGCGTGTCTGCAGCCCGTGCAGCTGCACCTCCTGGGCGCCCACGGGTGCCTTCCTCACAGGTCCCACACTTCCTCCCCACGGCCTGTACATCCGGGCACTGGGGGCTTGTCCCCGTGGGTCCTGGGCTGAATGTCATCCCGTCTGAAGTCTCTGCTTCAGTTCTCTGTAGCCTGAATGCGACATGGGTGCCCCTGTGGCCTTCTCCAACCAGGGCCCCACACGCCAGTTGCTTTTTGTCCCTCAGGACCTTTGCATCTGCTGTCCTGTCCTCTCCCACCTGATCAGGATCTGCTTCTTCTGTTCTTTTGTGTCCCTGCCCCAGCCCTTTGGGAAGGCCGGCTGTCCTCACCACACCCTCTCCTGGTCCTGCAGAGCCCTTGCCATGACCAAGCAGTCTTGGTTATCATCAGCTTATTTGCCACCATGCTCAGCCTGGCATAGCAGAGGTCTCCGTACATATCTGTTGAGGAACAAGGGACTCGAAAGCGTGCTCCCAGCTGGGACACCAGAATTCCAACGGGGTGGAGGTGCCACTGTCCCCCAGGTACGAGATGGCCCATGCAACTCGAGTGGCAGGGGAAGAACAGGTCCCATAGAGAGAGTCCATTGTGTGGTCACTGAACTCAGGGCTGGGGAACGCTGATGGGGCCCTGGCCTGCCTGGGGCTCAAGGTCTCCCCTGCCAGGCATGTGTGACACCATGCCCTAAGGAGAAGCTGCAGCAGAAGCAGGAGAGACAGGCGCTCCAGGTAAGACCCTCAGGAGAGATCCATGCCTGGTGTGCAGCAGATGGTGGGGCTGATCCCAGGGCTTTGGCCCCCGAGGGCATGGGCTGCATCCTAAGTGGCAGGGGACACTGGGATTCCAAGCAGGGTTGTGGCATTAGGGGACACAGCTGTTGATCACTCACTGATCAGCCTGGTTCCCCACCGCACTGTGGCTCACTTAGACAGGTAAAGGTTGGGGGCCCTCAAAATGCTAGAAAATTGTCCCCACACCTATCATCTGGCAGTTGGCTCCCTGGGGACTAGTACAGTGCCCAGCGTGAGACTTTGGGGTGGCCAGGCTGCAGCCCCTAGGCGCAGAGGGTCACCTTCCCCAGAGACTTCTCTTCTCAAGTCTGTGTGGTGGCCCAGCCCGAACAGCACCTCCCATGAGCTCGTGGCCATAGGTCACGCCCTACCTCCAGGCCTGTCCCCCATGGGGACTGCTTCTCGCCATCTGAACCCTCCCCCAGCACCAGCATGGGCTAGCATCTCGATGGACATCACCGCATTGTATTCATGACACACATGAGGAAAGACACACAGGATTCCCATTCTTCAGATGAGGAAGCCAAGGCTCAGAATGTGCCCCGGGTCACAGAGCCAGGAGAGGAGGCCCCATTACCTAGGCTACCAAACAGGAAGCGAATTCCTTCCTGACCTCGCCCCAAGGACTCCGTGACCCAGCTCTGGAGCTGTTTTACTGGGTGACCTTGGGTCAGTGGACTCACCTCTCTGAGCCTGTCTTGCAACTAGACATCAGAGCATTTAAAATGGTAACTTTGGGGCAGGGGTTTTAGCTCAGTGGTGGAAGTGCCTGCCTGGCAAGTGCAAGGTTGTAAGTTTGATCCTGGGTACCAAAAAATAAAATGGTAACTTCTTGGATTTCAAGAAAATTATAGGTTTCTTTCAGCCCTGAGTGTGTCTGTCTGTCTCCGTGTCTGTCACCGGGGCACCCCGTCCTCCCCGTCTCTCCCATAAGCCCCAAGCCCAGGACGCTGGGGTGTATGTGCATGGGGAACTCACGCAATCCTCCGGCTCTGTGCGCTGCTGAAGCCCGCGAAGGAGGCGCTGCGCCCCACAGTCCCCACAGCCCCAGCGTCCGCAGGTGACAGGAACCGCACCCTCACCGACATGGCCGTCACCTGGACCGGGAGGACAGGACGGTCAGCACGCACAGTCGCCCCCGAGTGCTGGCTGTGCCACAGATGCCTCCGCGCCTCCCTCTGGGCTGCATCCATCCCCACCTTCAGCTGCCCCCTGCACCATCTCAGGCTCACAGGGGAGAAACTGAGTCTCCATGGGGTTGGGGAGCTCGGGATTCGAACGCTGGTCACTCTACTTTGCGTGCAGGTTCTTCCTGCCCCAGCGACGTGGCCCCTCAGCAGGGCTGGGCACCTCTAGCCCAGTCCCTCACTGAGCATCTGCTGTGAGTCAGACCCTCACTGGCTGCACACACCACGCCCCCGGCAAGCCGGGCAGTGCAGACACACCAGGGACCACGGTGGCCCCGAGTCTGCAGCAAAGTGTCAGGGCCCTGGCTCCTGAGCCCGCCGAGGAGGTGACCAGAGCTGGGAAGGCTGAGCAGGGTGGGGGCAAAGGTGGGGGGAGGCAGCAGGAGCCCCAGGGCACCGCACCGTGAGAATGCAGAATGATGAAGACCCAGAAACTAAAAAGAGTTGCGGGAGGTAGGGGAGGCGGGCACAGGAGAAAAGCTGGCAGAACGCAGGTCCCGAGCAGCCGTGGCAGCCCCAGGGAGGGTGCGGGCCTTGCAGCTGGGCGGGCCCAGCTCCCAGGGGAGCTGGGAGCCATGGGAGGGTTTCGAGCAGGGGTGATAAAGCCCAGTTCACAGGCTCCCCGAGTTCAGGGCTGCCACCGCCGTGACCCCACCGTCCTGTCTCCGGCCCAGAATGCAATGAGGTCAGCCCAGCGCCCTGGCTGCCTTCTCTTTTTTCCAAACCATCTCTAGGTTGGAAAAAGTGCCCCACATCCCTTGGGAATGTAGCCCTTCTGGCCAGCCTCTTCGAGCACAGGCGGTCGGAAAGTTCTTGGTATCTAATCTAAATCTCCGCTGCTCTGGTTCCATCCTCTTCCACCAGGGCACTGTCCGTCCAAGCGTTCCAAGGACCCCGCTGACCAAATGCGGACCAAACAACAACAGGGCCACCGCACACACCCAGGCCTCCTGCACACACCAGAGCCTGCACCTGCCCCACCTCCAGCCTCCGGACCTGGACGGGAAAGGCCATGGCCACCCACGCTCAGTCCTGTGTCTCCTTGTTGGCCACTGCCAGGGCTCGGTCAGCACCTCCAGCAGGTCTGTGTGCCCCCAGAAGCCTTTGCTTCTGCTGTCTCTCCTCTCCACCGTCCCCATATGTAACCCACAGGGAGACATCAGAGTCAAGGAAGCCAGACCTGGGCTCCAGGGCTCAGTAATCACAACTGGGAAATGGGAATTCAGAAAATACCTCCTTCACAGGGGACAGAGGACACAAGGTACCTGGAGCCCACAGTGTGCAGGGGACGCCCAGGCAGAGCTGGCTGCTGTTGGAGACCCCACCCTGGAGGTGATCAGCTTAGTGTGGGGAGCAACTGCTCACCCTGATGGAAGAGGGCGGGAACCGTCCACTCCGCAGCTGCTGGGTGCCCCCTCGAGCCAGGGGCCACTGTAAATCCATGAACAGATGGGGAAGTTGAGGCAGGCTCAGAATGGAGGCATCATTTCTCCACTGTTATTATGCCTGATGCAAATTATCTTACTGAAATTACTCAGCCTCTTTGGGAACAGGACCCACTGATGTCCTCACTGGATTGATGAAAAGTGGGTCCATAAAATCAGCCCGCAGACCCTGCAGGGCGTCAGCTGAGCCGGGCTCAGAACCCAGGTGTGTCTCATGGCGACCTCATCTCGGGCTGCTGTCGGTGGTCTCACCTGGCTTCAGGGACGCCTGCGTGCTGGAGCTCCAGCCCCACACCCTGCCCAGGGAGGCTCCCACAGCCCACACCTGTGCCTGCTCACCAGAGTCAACTTTGAAATTTTTAGAAATACTACGAGCCAGCAGACATCCACTGGAAGCTGAGAATCAGCCCCGCAGGAAGTCTGCACCGGGGTGCACAGTGGTGGGGGCTCCCATGCGGGCTGGTGCCCTGCTGATAGTGAACCTTGCCAGCCCACGGCTGCTCTCGGGGCCAGCATGCACCAGGATGGGCCAGGCACCTTCTCTACCTGGATGGGCGAGGAGATGAGAAGGAGCCAGTACCACCTACAGGTCATTCCCTGCAGGAGAGAGAGGACATAGCCAACAGCCCCGCCCCCAGGGCCCTAACGGCTAAGCCAGGTGCTCCTGCTCACGTCTCAGTGATAGAGAAGGACGGAGAGCAGAGCCCAGGTGCCCTGCAGCCAGTGCCCCGTTCCCAGACAGCAGCTGAGCTGCTCGTGGGATTAGCTTCCCGGCTCTTGTGGCTTGTGTCTAGATGTCCCCACCAAGCCT